GCATATTTTCCACAAACAAGTGAGGTGGAGCGGAGGGGGGGGAGGGAGAGAAGGCGGTTGACAAGCCCTGCCTAAAACCATCGGAAATATGTGTTTTCCGATGGTCTTAAGTGACCCCTGTGAAAGGCTCGTGCGACCCCCAAAAGGGTCGCGACCCACAGGTTGAGAACCGCTGATCTAAAACAAGGGTGTTCAACCTTGGCAACTTTAGGACTTGTGGACTTCAACTCCCAGAATTCCCCAGCCAGATGGCTGGCTGAGGAATTCTGGAAGATAAAGTCCACAAGTCTTAAAATTGCCAAGGTTGGATGTCCCTGATGTAAGAGATCCTCATTTTCTTTGTTTCCTATTTATAATTTGATATAACAGTTTTATTACCTTTGTTGGATATAATTTGTGTATATTTTTTCACTGGGTTTTTTTTTCATTCAATAAAATTTGCTTTGCTATAATACAGAGAAAACTCCATGTCTCTGATTGCTGTAAAGAGAATGGCTGGATTCCCATCTCATGCTAAACTAAGGATTACCACACAGGACCACTCCACCTGTGAGAGTCTCCTAGAGGGCACAGCTTGATTTCTTAAATGAAAAATGAAAAATAAAAGTAAAGAAATAGCTGACATTTCAGGAGCTCTCTGATCTTGTGAGATCATTCAACAATTATGCAGATATTTTGCACCATGGCTACATTCAGTGATTTAATTGCCAGGTTCCTAATGACCTTCAGTGTGGAAAAACATTAAAAAGTTAAGAAACTCTAAGCAGGTTTACTGGTGACCAGGCTCTATTGTGCCCAGGACTATGTCTGCAGAAGAGATTTCTTCATCATTTCTGGAATTAATCCATCTCAAAACCCCAGTGCAAGCACTGATGGTGTTACCTAGTTTGGGTAACGAAATGTCTTCAGGAAAACAACCAAGCTCAGAGAGCACCAAGGGCCCCCCATTTCAATCCTGAGCTATAAATATTTTCCTTTATTGGAACCCCGGTTCATTTTGGGTACAAGCTTGACATTTCTTTTAGCCTTAGTGAACTCCATCAAGATCAATGCAGCAGTGGAAAAACTATTAATCAAGATCACTTCAAGGTATTGGCTATAACTTTGCCCCTCCCTTGCAAAGATCAGATTCATCAACTGTGCAGGGACAAAAAAAATAAAAATAAAAAATGGGCAGGGCATGCAAACCGCAGTGAAATTCATGTGCCGTCTGCATGATTTTAGCCACCTTGTTAATTACAAAACGGACCAATCTGCATTCAGGAGTTAGGCAGCTGTTTGCTATGTGCTTGTATTCTTTCTAATTAGCTGCTTTTCACCATCGCCATTGTCAGGTCCCCAAACCCTTATTGTCTCCCTTCTATGTATATATTCTTGTGCTTTGCTTTGGGGGGCCTGCCATTTTGCTGGGGGGAGGAGGAGATGTTTGCTTTTGCCTGGGATAACTTTTGCTTTCTGCTTTCCTTCTTCCACCTCTATCCACTTGAGAAAGGAATATGTCTCCCTTATCAGAAAAACGAAAGCCGGAGAAGACCTTGAGATGTGCACCAACTGTGCCAGTTACCCGCTCAATGTGCCACCTGTGGATTGGCTGGATTTCAAATGGACATTATGACTTTGGGCCTGGTGACTGGTCCCAACGTAGGCATGACAGCCAGCTGGGTGACTTTGCAACAATTACCAGGAGATGATGAGTTTTAGACGATGAGATGAAGGCTGGCTGGGTGACTTTGGGACAATCACCAGCAGACTAGATGCTAAAACAAATGAAGACTGCTGGAAGGAATTGGGCATGTCTAGTCTAACAAAGAGAAGGACAAGGGGTGACATGATAGCAGTCTTCCACATCAAAGGGGCTGCCCCAAAGAAGAGGGAGTCAAGCTATTCTCCAAAGCGCCTGAAGGCAGGACAAGAAGCAACGGATGGAAACTAATCAATGAGAGAAGCAACCTAGAACTAAGGAGAAAATTTCCTGACAGAACAATTAACCAGTAGAACAACCTGCCTCCAAAAGCTGTGAATGCTCCAACACTGGAAGTCTTTAAGAAGAGATTGGACAGCCATTTGTCTGAAATGGTATAGGGTTTTCTGCCTGAGCAGGGGGTTAGACTAGAAGACCTCCAAGGTCCCTTCCAACTCTGTTATTCTGTTATTTTTTTCACTTCAGCATTTCACCCCACCATAGGCTTGTGGAATCAACCTTCAAAACCCTAGTTCAATTGGGGTACAAACTTAAAATCTCTTCTAGCCTTCATGAGCTCAATCAAGGCCACTGTAGCAGTGGGAGAACTATTAATCACAATCACTTAGGTTATTGGCATTAACTTTGCCCCTCCCCAGAGATCCGAGATCAGTTCCCCCATCAGGGGTTCAGCCTGGTTCCTAGGAAAGACCAGATTGGGTCTGGACTCTATTTGTAGCGAAAAGGTTACTTTTACTAAAAGCCAAGTGGTTAGAGTAGTGAAACCCGATCTACAGGTTTGCACACAAAGAATCTAGGAATCCTAATTAACTTCCCCTTCTCTGTTCCACCCCCCCTTATCTTCCTATTGTCCAGTGACATTCAAAGAAGCTATCCTTGCAATGGTTGGGTAGATGGATAGATGTTACATTCCATTTCCAGGTCTGCTGCCATGGGATGTCTCCAGATGGTACGAAGATCACTTTTGGTTTCCCCCTCATCTTCCCACATGGCTTATGGCAGGCTGGCATTTAGCGACGCATATGGTAAGTGTGAGTGAAGGACAGCAGCTCTCACATCTGCACTGTCCAGTTATCCAGTCATTCATCAACCAGGCCCGGGCAAAAACTGGGCATGGCAATGCAAAGCATAGTGAAATCCACGTGCCATCTGCATGACCTTAGCCAACTAGTTAATTACAAAATGGACCAATCTGTACTACAGCATTGGGCAATGATTGGGTACATCCTCACATTTTTTTTTATTAGTGGCCTTGCAACATAGCCCCCCACACACAGTGCAAAGCCGCAAGCTACTTCCTCCTGGCTTGCTGCAGAGAGATGGGTATCTGAAGACAGAACTTTTTTTTTGTTCCTTCTGTGTTGCAGAACACAGGTATACAAACTTAAGGAAAGGTTTTAAATTTGGGAAATCACTGAACCATTGACGGAGCGCAGACCACACACGTGCAATTGGCTAGTCTGTGGTGCAGTGCATCATGTGCACACAAAAATACAGGGAGCATATATGGAAACGTCAAGTACCTAAAACAGAACATTTGAGATGCTTCTTAATATCATCCCATTAATGGATGCTATAAAAGCCACTTTGAAAAGAGTACTGTATTTATTCAAGAACTCTTTAAAAAGAAAAAGTATTAAAATCAATTTATAAAGAATCTGGATCAAGGGTAAAATATAAAAATGGATACAAAAGAAAAGAAAAATCTTGAAGACAGCCCACCAATTTAATTTATACAAAGCAGACATTATTATGAGCATGGGAATAAAAGCTCAAGACAATAGCAAATGGATTTTTTAAAAAAAAGTAAACAGAGAGCCATGTATGTAGGTAAAGATGCTAATGGTATTAGAATAATTTAGCGACAAGAATTCTGTAACACTTTTGTTGGTTTTCTTCTGCCTTATATATCCCATACTTTGAATATTTAAGAAATTAGACATCATTTATATTGTTCTGATATTTCACCTTTACAATCATTATACTTTCTCCAACACAGAGAATAAAATTGCTTATTATAAATTTATATATTCATTACAAATCTATTCCTTCTTTCATTAATTTAAATCAGGATTTCTCAGTCCTCAACCTTAAGACATGTGGACATCAGCATCCAGAATTTCCCAGACAGCAATTACCTGAGGAATTCTGGAAGTTGAAGTCCACATGTCTGAAAGCTGCCAAGGTTAAGAAACTCTGATTTAAATGTATTGCCCACCCAACTCCTATGGACTCTAGAAATAAACATAAAAGCAGCAAAAGCATTAAATCAGATGAACAATCCAGACTAAAATGAACTAATAAACAGCAAAATCAACAAAACAAAACAGGTGCCTTGGACAATTAATAAATTTCAGATCCATGCCTAGGAGACAGCCATGTCTTAATGGGGGGTATGAATGGGGGGCACAACAAAAAAGTCATGCTTCCTTGATCTCACAAAACGACAACATTTAACAGAGAGAAAAAAGAATAAACCCACTCTGCTGGAACATACTGGGTGGGTGAAATTATTGGAGACAGCAGCCTCCAGATTAATTAAACTCTTCCTTTATGAAAGATGAAGTATACTGTAAAAAGTTATCTCAAATTTAAAAAGTCATAAATCACATTCACACACACACACACACATGCACACACACGCCATCCAGGTGGCTGCACAGCCAAGAAATTCAGAGGCTTACTACTTTCTTAAATCAGTGATTCTTTTAAACTCTGTCTTAAGAGTAAGAGTCATGGATTTCACCTTGAGATCAACCATGCTTCTTAAACTCAGCACTAGTAGAATCGTATTGTCTGGTTGCCCAGCTTGTTTGGTAAGAAGACTAAAAACTCTTTCATAAAGGATTATATAAATCCTGACCAAGCAGGTTATTCTTAAAGACAGGCAGATTGCAGATCCAATTCATCACAGTCTGAATGGCCTGTATTACAGCAGAAACTCTGAAATGCCATTTGCTATCCACACTTTAGATATTTTTTAAGGCTTTGGATTAGCTGCAATGGATCTGCAATGGATCTCTCTCTCTCTCTCTCTCTCTCTCTGTGTGTGTGTGTGTGTATGTGTGTGTGTGTGTGTGTGTGTGTGTGTTTGCCCACCACTCGCATGGAACCCCCTCTCTCCCCCTCTGCCAGTCCTCTAAGTGGGAAAGGTTGTTTTAGAGTGATGTTCTCTTTCCCCAGTTGGAAGACAGTGATAGAACAACTGCTTGCAATGCTGGCAGTCCAAGGTTGACTCTTTAGCCCAGTGTTTCTCAACCTTGACAATTTTAAGGCATGTGGACTTCAACTCTCAGAATTCCAATGCTGGCTGTGGAATTCTGGGAGTTGAAGTCCACATGCCTTAAAATTGTCAAGGTTGAGAAACACTGCGCTTTCTGATTAAAAGAAGGTTATGGGAAATGCCTCTCCCTGAAACTCAGTGTCTACTAGAAGAAGTTAATAAACAAATAGCTCTAGTAAAAGCAATTTACACATCTTCCATAACTACCATGCATTTAAGGTTGAGATGGGCTTTCCAGAGGACCACACCTTGAAAAATAGTGCAAATTATTGGATTGGAAGTGAATTGAATGAACTTCATTGAAATCAAATTCATCAGGTTTTAAGACCCTATTAATTTCAATTCATGTAATGTCCATTGATTTAAAGGCAGCTGCGTCTGAATTCGAACCTTTTATTTTTGAGCACAAAAAAAGGGGGGGGGGTACCGAGAGGACCTCCATGAAAAAAAAATCTAATAAATAGATATCCATAATCTTCTAGGCAGCCTTTTTTGTATATATGGTTATGGGGGCAACACAGATTCAGTTAGGTCTGTGCGTCTGATGACACATGACCTGGATTGCTATACCAGAATCTGTCTACTTTGAAATTTTTTTATTATTTATTTATTAATTTTTTATGCCGTTCATCTCCCCTTTAAGGCGACTCTGGGCAGAAATAATGTCTCTGTTTGGAGAACAGTGAGTTCACACTTCCTGAAGAACTCTTTCAACAGTATGACCACCAATGAGTAGAACGGATGGTGATTCAGGTAATATTGTCCTGAATGTGTCTATTTTAATTTACTTATCTGTTCAATTTCTAAGCCACTTTCATTGCCCAAGCGACCCTAGATACCCATGTATTAAAACAATAGCAAATAGGGGGGTAGTGGGAGACAACAATAGCTTTGAAAATAGACTAAATGTTGATTGAAATGCAAGATACTATATAGGGAAAGTCATCAGGTAGAAGTTCACAGTGGAAAGCTTGCACACAGTAGTGGAGCTGATCTGCTGAAAATGACTTCAATCTCGGAATTTCTTATTTAATGTTGGAAGGTCAAGGAAGTGGAGGAAGGTTATCTGTAAGAAATTCGGGGACCTGGATTTTTCAAGTCACTGTATATATCCATTCGCTGCCCTTGAAGTTCCTGCAGGGAAAGAGGATATATATATATATTATCATTGGCTTTTCCCAAAGAACCTTAAGCTCTGATAAATTAGTAACTAGTCCAAAATTTTCTTTTGAGTCTGACCAAATGTCTTCAGGAAATCTGCAAATCAGGTATAACTTCAACCACTTACTTTCCTGTTATATTGCTCCAAAATCTATACTCTTCAGAATATAGATTATTTGAGAATGTATAAAAGTTCTATTTAGCCAAGAGATGATAAAAGACCTATTTACGAATTAGCTGCATTCCCCTTCTTAGTAACATTGACAGGTACCGGAACTAAATTCTCAGAGTTTCCAGCAAATTTATGATAAAATTCCTATTTATTGGGAATGCCTGCTTGACACCAACTTGATAGCAGAGAATCAATGATACACATTTAACAAACCATCATGATTGGGTTCACGTCAAGTCAAAACCCAACAAATCACATAGTACTCTCTCTGACTCAGTTCCCACAACTAAATTCTAAACCTGGCTTGACAAAGCACAACTGCTCTGTTCAAAATAACCTATCAAAATTATGGATGGTGTATCACAACAAGCTATCCCACAAACTGGGTGAATGCAGCTGGCCTCTTATAGTAAAGCCAACATTGTGTGTGTGCATACAATGTTAGATGTCAACCTCTCCTTGTTTCCCCTACCAGACTAGTACTAAAGCTGCAACTGTCACTCTACACCCAACAGGAAAGACCTCAGGAAGAAAAGTAAATATAGTACTTATATGTTATACTTACCTCATAGGGAGATTCATGCTGAGCCTTGTCTGCTAAGAAGAAAGAGAAGACTATCAGTATATGAAAGATATTTTTTAGATTCCATCTGAAGAGAGTTAGGAGGAGGGAGTGAGGTTGTTTTCTCTCATGCTGAAAGGATGTGACACAGAAACTGTGGTTAATGGTTTACTGAAAGGCTGCGGCTGCAAGCTAGGATTGCCCAACTTGAATCTTCAGACCAAGTTACCTGACCTTCTTTGAGCTTAAAAATAAAAAGAGGTTCTTATGACCACATATTTCTGTATATACTTACTTCCTTACAAAGGTGATTTTCTGAAGAATTCTAGCTTGTTCCTGTACTACCTTCCTCCATTTTAATGCTTCTTTTATAATATTTTAGATAGATAGTTAGATAGATAGATAGATAGATAGACACAGAGAGAGAGAGAAGTACAGATAAATAAATATAGATACAAATATAGATTACAGATATAGCCCTCTCTATATCAGTGGTTCTCAACCTGTGGGTCGGGACCCCATTTGGGGTCGAACGACCATTTCACGGGGGTTGCCAAACAACGCAGTCCGCCATTTTTTTCCCCTTTTCCTTAGCTGTGCTACTCCTTTTTATTCTATTGGCTTTTGAAAGCCAATAGAATAGACTCTCTTGAATAGAGTCTAATTCTATTAGCTTTCAAAAGCCAATAGGAATTGTCCAGGCTGTCTCTGCCCTGCTGAGCCCGCCAAAAGTCCCATTCTGCAAACGGTGCTGCACCAGTTGAGTAGTCCTCAACTTACAACCGGTGGGGGGTCACGGCATTAAAAAGGTTGAGAACCACTGCTCTATATAGAAGATTTTTAACCTGTTATCTTCCTTTTTGTCTGCTAAAAATCAGAAAAAGAAAGCATAGGCTCTTCATTTTTTTCAAATGCACCAGGCTTGCATTACAATCTAGAATAGTGTTTTTCAAACTTGGCAACTTTAAGGTGAGTGAGCTGACTCCTAGAAGTCCCCCCCAGCCACTCTAGCTGGGGAATTTTGGAAGTTGAAGTCCACCCATCTTAAAGTTGCCAAGTTTGAAAAATGCCAGTTCTATGACCTTGTCTTAGAGAGGGTGTGCAGATTGTACTTGGCACAGATGGTATGCTAAACAGTCAGGGTCAAGTCCATCAAATGCCATCTATTCTGCCAAGTGCACATTCAGCAACACAGCCATTTGCTGTGGGCACACAGGCATCCCGTCTCTTTCACTTAGATCCATGCACCATCAAGCACTGACATTTCTTCCAAGGGGAAAGTGTGCACCGGGGACATGGGATCTGCCTCCTCACCTTTGCTGGTGGCTTGCTGTTTATAGATACAGCTGACCACATAGTAGACTCCCAGAGCAATGAGCAAAGTCAGGAACAAATCTCCCAGCACAACTCCTGCAATGGTGCCGGGATCAATCTTGTAGCAATGACCACAATCTGGGGATTAAAAAGGATAGAATTGTGAGAAGCATAGAGATATACTTTATGGGGCTTCACATGTCCTAATTTCTTGGCAATTAGAATCTGGTCCTACCATGGAGTCCTAAGTGTTCTCTGAGCTTAGTTGTTTGCTTGCAGATGTTTTATTATCTGATCAGGTAACATTGTTAGTGCACTGATGATGTTACCTAATCAGGTAATGAAATGTCTGCAGCCAAACAACCAAGCTCAGAAATCACCAAGGATTCCATAGTTCATTCCTCAGCTACAGATATTCTCTTCCATTGGGCTGGTCCTCCCATTAAGCCAAAGTAACTTTCTCTGCAGAAGCATCCCCAATTTAGGGCAGATGCAAAGTTAGCAGCAATATTCACATTTTCTATTTTCTGTTAGGCCCTGCTACTCACTCTGTTTTTTGCCTGCATTTGCAGCCTGGAATAGTTGGAGCAGGTTTGGGGAAAGGGACAGACAATTGGATCAGGGAACAAACAGTTTTCAGTTTTAATTTATTATAATCAAAGATCAGGAATCAAAAAACAGGAAAAGCGAGTTGCGGCTGCTTTGCCTATTGGTAAATTGGAGTTTTAAAAGTTCAGCTTGTTTCCTTCAGCTTGTAATTTTTATTTATAATTCCAGAGATTGGATGTAGGAGAGAGCATTCTTTCATTTTTATAGAATTATAAAGCATCGGTAAAGTATAACACTGGCTGCATGTTAAACAAGCACCTTTGTACACAATTCTCCACATCTTGCTATCTTTTTCAGGTTTTCAGGTTTTCATTTCAGCAAGCTATTTTCCCCTACACAATGCATTTTTCTTCTATGTGAGTTTCATCATTAGGGACGCTTCCCCATTAATAGGACAGCAGCACAGCAAAAATTCAAAAATGAGTGAATTTCATTGTACCCATACATTTCAATTGGCCTATCAGTTTAAGAGCAAGGAATGAAGAAATTGCAAATTGCATATTCTGCCTTTAATAAGGACCAGACTGAATCTATAAATAACTACAATAGAATGCAGAACTTGGAGACTAGATGGAAAACACCAGATGCTATGCCATTGCTGACAGTAAGCAGATGTTGGGTTTGTTCAACAATCTGGAGAAGTCACTAGAACAGTGATATGATATGCATATCAAAGGTGACACACCAAAATGTTTTGGGGGACACACCGGTATTCATCAACCCTCGACTACAATTTTTCTTGAAAGCACAACCCCTTTCTCACACCATTTTCAAAGGCCGTATGAGAATGAGGTGTGTTCTCATGCAGCTTCTGAGCCTTCCAGAGTTATAAAACTCTCGTGAGAATGGGGTGTGCTTTTGTGCAGTTTTTGGAGGCTGTGGAAGAGCATTCTTTGGAGCTGCTTCAAGAAGATTAGGGAGATACAATTCCCCAAATTTCACATGCCTTGAAGAATGACACAAGGTGGCCTTTCTGAGGGACAATGTTGGCACTAGGGTTGAAGTTGAGGTCTGCGGAGTTGAGAATTGTTTCTATTTTGTACAGTGTATGTGTGTGTGTATGTGACATGCAAGCAGAATCAAGTTAGGCATTTTCAAATTTTTTGACACGCTAAGTCCAAAAGGTTTGCCATCCCTGCTATAGAGAAATCTACATGAGAATAGGGTGTACACTTAAGAAATGCATACCTACGGACTATATTAATTACAAATCAGTAGTTTTCCAGCAGAGAAGTGGAGAAAAAATTGGTGCAGCACTAAAATTTTAAACAGCATTTGTATACCAGAGGACAAGTTGCATTGTCTAAATCATCTTTCTGCAAAATAATTCTTTACGGATATGACTGGATTTTAATTCCAGATCTAGTATGGTAAAGCCGTGACAAATGCTACACAAGGATTTGCACCCCCCCTCTCTCTCCCTCCCTCCCTCCCTCCCTCCCTCCCTCCCTCTGTCTCTCTCAACCCACTTCACAAAATTTGCTCTTGTGGGTCAAAAATGAGAGCAGCCAATGCCATCTTCAGCTGTTGAAACAACAGTATGATATAAATCTGATTGATTTATTATGTGCTATCAAGTCAGTGTTTGACTTCTAGTGACCACATAGATTTTTCTCCATGAAAAAGAAGTCTGATAAATAAACTCCCAGGCAGCAAACATTTGGAGGGGACACGTAGTTCAAAACCTTTGTACGGCACCAGACTTGCAAAGTGTGTTCCCAAGACACATTTATTTTTGTGGCACTTCCCTGTTTTCACTCTGCGTCATTGACAGGCTAGGCAACTATTTATGAACAGAGATGTGAAATGGCTCTTACCATTTGCAACTTGAGCAGCTCCTGTGGAAAAAATAAAGTGGAGGCTATGTCTGTTATTTAGTTTGCAGCACCATTTTAAAAAGCCCCCTCCCCAATTCATTTCTCTCAGAGACAACTTTGATAGGAAAAGATTCCAGATCTTCCAGCCATCTTGTAGCACCTTTTCTACCAGAAAGCAAATTTTATTCAAAGGCATCGGTTTTTGTGAGTTGCAGCTCACTTCATCTGATGCATAAACTAGATTAGTGTTTCTCAACCTCGGCAACTTTAAGATGTGTGGGTTTCAACTCTCAGGACTCCCCAGCCAGCATGTTATACATATAGCAAGCTGGGGAATTCTGGAAATTGAGGTTCACACATCTTAAAGGCTGAAAAACAGTGAGTTAGATCAATATAGGATTTCAGTGGTGAGGCTGGGAGAAAGGAAAGGGAGACACACTGGTTATGCAGATGGAAGTTACATGTGAGATAAATTACAAGTACCTAATCAATTAACAAATGTAATGTGCTAAAACATCATTGGGTTGGAGGCCTTCTGAGATTGTCTCATTTTTTGGATGTTATGTGAGTTCAGCAATGGCTCCCACTTCGCCCCAATTGAATCCTACGTCAATCTAGCTACTTGGATGACGTGAACTGTAGCTCATGAAAGCATCTGCCATTTATTAGTCAGTAAAGATTCTGCCACACTCCGCCTATTATTATTATTTTTTTGCTACCATCAATTATCCAGAGAGGGACTATAATGGAGGGTTAATATTTATGGGTGAATTTTAGGTTTGTAAAGCCATCAGAGAGGCAAAAAACAATTGGCTCATTTTTGTTTCTTTTACCCATTGCTTTAATCTACAGACGTCAACCAAGTAAAGATTCTACATTAGTGAAAATGAGCAGGACCACATTGTTTAATTTTTCCAAGGTTTTTTTTTCAAGAAGGGGAAAAAGAAATACTCCCTTTGGAAGTGTTGAGAGTCGATTGTGCTGCATCAATCAGCATTGGAGCTGGCTGCTCTTGTTAGTATAAACCTTCCATTTCACTCGGCATAATTAACTCACTTACCAAATCAATACCTTTTCTGTGATTGCGCAATGTGTTGAGTTATATATTGACCAAGTGAGTGGATGGCACACTAGGCTGCAAAAACTTAACCAAGATTAAAATTATGCAACCTTTGCCAGTTGTATAAATACAGGTATTGCTTAATCGGGTATTTTGTGAGGGAACACCCTGCCATCAGTGATATTTCAGGCCCAAAGACGCTGGGTAGAATGTCTTGGGGGTGGGGGTATCCATCTCCCATTTTATGTCTCTTCCCCCCAGTTCTCTCGTGTTTTAGAAGAGAAAGGGTAAGAGAAAAACATGGTGTTTTAAATGTTTAAAATAAAAGATGTAGGGGAGGTGGATTTATACTTGCTGAGCTGATTGTAGCTGCAGTGTTATACAAAATAAGCCATAACGCATTTCCTCCGAGAATGTATCACAGGACTATTATATCATGCAGAAGCCTCAACTTCTGGGCTGGCCCTTCCCTCCTTTCCCCCAGATCAGATTCTTTGCAATAGATATGAAGGATTGTACATTTTTGACATAATAGAACAGGAATACAAAGTCCACTACTGAGAGCGGAACAGAATAGCAGACCCAAGAAACCATTTTATATTCATATTCTCATGTTGCATTTCCTTGGTCTTGACATCCAAAACATTTTCAGATATTTCTTTTTCCTGAAAATGTTTTTTAAAGTGTTCTATAAGATTATAGGTTTTAGAGAAGCCATCAGTCCTTCAGAGATATAACAAACTGTGGTTTAAAAAGATGATCTGAGAGGCTGTAGCTAGAAAAGGGCCAACAGAAGAAGAAGAAGAAGAAGAAGAAGAAGAAGAAGAAGAAGAAGAAGAAGAAGAAGAAGAAGAAGAAGAAGAAGAAGAGGAGGAGGAGGAGGAGGAGGAAGAAAGAATTCCTAAATCCATCTCCTGATGTGGCTTTGGGAGGCCACCACCATCCCCAGAAGACTAGTGAGAAGGACCTTGTGCTTTAACACATTTTTCCTCTTAAAATACAGTCTGAGAAAATGTCTAGATGTTATATTCATCAAGGGGTAGTCAATAAAAGGTGAATTCTTTTTAAACCAGAAAGTCAAAGGAGATAAAAATGGGACCCCAAGATCCAAAGGAGGCCAAGATAGAGAAGGAGACTAAAAATGGTTGATCCAACTCACCCAACTGAGGCCAGGTCAAACCCAGGAGAATGGGGAGGATTGGGAATCCTAACTGAGCCATATTAGATGTTCCCAAGTTGGGGGATGCCGTTGACACTGAAGACTTTCTGGTTGGGAATCAAGGTCCAAGACTCAAGGCGTTGGGACTAGAGGGGCAGTGGTGACATCTGTCTGAAGAGTGAGAGAACAGGAAAAGAAGTAGCTCTAGGCAGGAAACCTCAAAAAAGGGAAGAGGCTGTCATTGCGGTGGGATCAAGTCAGCGCGAACCCTCCTGCTCACCCTCCCTCCTCCGGAAGTAACTCCAACTTAAAAAGAAGAGGCCGAGATCACAGCATTGCTTCTGACTTGAAGCAGCTTCAGTCACGTTGCCTGTATGTTTATCCTTGTTTTTTCCTCTTCTCCTTTGCCCTTTGGGATTTTTGCTTAGTTCTGTTTTTTTTTGTTTTTCCTTTTTAATTCTTCAGATTTCATTTCTGAGTTATTGTATGCCACCCAGACTCTTTTGGGAATTGAGTGGCATAGAAATAATAGAAATATAAAAGTATGCCCTGATGTCTGTCTGTCTGTCTGCTGTCTGTCTGTCTGTCTGTCTGTCTGTCTATCTATCTATCTATCTATCTATCTATCTATCTATCTATCTATCTATCCCCCCCTCTCTCATTTATATGCTGCCTATCCTACCGTTGGGCAACCTAGACGATTTTTCACCTCAGAAATGGAAAGAGATGGATATGAAAGGACGGATATAAGCGTAGCACCCCTTCCCAGTGTTTTGATTTCTGATTTTCTACAACCCTTGCCAATGATCACTTTGAACATAGAACTAAGAATAACAGAGATGGAAAGGACCTTGAAGGTCTTCTAGTCCAACCAAGCTGGAAGGAAATGATGTCCAATATAGTAGGCAGGAATCGGTTTGCTTGACTCATAATCTTAATAGTTGGAACCTCTGTAAGGATTATGCCTGGAGTTCCTAGCACAAAAGCTCTTCAAACCAAGGGGACATAGAAAGGAGAGTATAGTATATTGAGGTCCAGTTGATAACCACAGTTGCCAAAGGTAGAATGCAAGAATTAGTAATCTTGCTTAATAAGAATAGAATAGAATAGAATAGAATAGAATAGAATAGAATAGAATAGAATAGAATAGCGAATGGAGTGGAGTGGAGTAGAGTAGAGTATAGTAGAATAGAATAGAATAGAATAGAATAGAATAGAATAGAATAGAATAGAATAGAATAGAATAGAATAGAAGAGTTGGAAGGGACCTTAGAGGTCTTCTAGTCCAACCCTCTTCTAGGGTAGAAAACCCTGTACAATTTCAGACAAATGGTTGTCCAATCTCTTCTTTAAAACTTCCAGTGTTACAGCATTCACAACTTCTGGAGGCAAGCTGTTCCACTGATTAATTTTTCTGTCAGGAAATTTCTTCTTAGTTCTAGGTTGCCTCTCTCCTTGATTAGTTTAGAATTAGAACTGGAGAAGGAAGGAAGGAAGGAAGGAAGGAAGGAAGGAAGGAAGGAAGGAAGGAAGGAAGGGCTATGGAAAGTATTAAGAAGACAAGTATTTTAAAGGTGGGTTGGAAGGTAGGCAGCAGGAAAACAGCTCAATAAATAACTTATTAAAGCTTCTGTCCACTTTTGTTGTTCCTAGGCAAATTAAGAACATCAAGACAACAAGCAATTAAAAGTGCATTCAAAAGGTAAGAGCTACTGTTGCAAATGCATATTCACTTTTTATATGAAAAGGTTTTCTCGGTGGGACTAAAGGACTTGAGTCTGGAAAGTATGAATGAAAAAAAAAAGAATGCTTCCTATTCTGCCTAAAATTAATGTACCCTAAAACATGAAACTAGGGAAAGATGTTTTCAAAAGCTCTGCACCTTGGGCAGAATTCATGCAAAACTTCACATGTGGGAAGTGTGAATGTTAAGACAAACATTCTATTTATTTATTAGAATGTTTAAACACAATGCAAATATGAAGAATCAAAGGAAACATAAGAAAAAGTAAATGATTTTTGTCCTTCTTTCCACTGAATAGTGACCATCTTACTCTTTCCTCTCCTTCTCTTTTCATTTATCAATTAATCAATTAAATTTATATGCCGCTCATCTCACTCTGCAAAGAGACTCTGGACTTCTTCATCTTACTTTATAAATTCCCCCCGTTTAATTCTTTTTAATCCCCAAATCTATAAACCATCAATTCAGTCTTTTCTTGTTTCAGCAAAAAGTGTGTATAAGGTTTCTAGTCTGTCAGAAAAAGTGTTTATCGTTTTTCCCCCTGACTAAACTGGTTAGCTTCACCATTTCTGCAAGTTCTGTAAAGTTTATAATCTAATCTTCCACTGTGGGTATTTCATTATTCTCCTGTCTTTGTACATACGGTGATCTTGCTGCAGTTCCTACATATAATATTAATTTCCTATATTGCTTTTCTACTTCAATATTCATAAAACCCAACAGAAACAAGTTAAGACATTCTCGAAGTTACAATGACATACAGACATCTTTGCAGTAATGAAAAAAATGAAATAAATTCAAATGGACAAGTTTACTCATTGCTAACATTCATCGCTGGGAGGTGGATAAAATTAAAAGAAGCCTCTCGTCTTCAAACTATGAAGCAAGAAGTGTTGCCAGGCTTTATTTCATAGATCCAGATCCCAGCGTGCACTTCTGCTATTGCCAAGGCAGCCATTCTCTAGATGTTTGAGTGGTCTTCTCAATTTGGGGAAGTCCCTGATTTTCTTACTTCCTTGCTCAATAATCAAGGAGATTTATTAGCTAGCCAAACTGGTTTCAGAGGTGGAAACCAGTTGCTTTAAGCCACAGATGGCATTTTGCCCCTTAAGGGTTGCGATAACCTGCAAAGTGACCCTGTAGAAAATCATTCAAATGCACTCGTAGACTTTTGTCAAGTCAATAATCCATTTTTCCTGGATTATATTGTATATTTTGGTGCCCTTGAGTCACTCTTGACTCCTGACAACAGCCTGGACTTTTCTTGGCAAGGATTTTCAGAAGTGGTTTGCCATTGCCTTCTTCCTCAGGCTCAGAGAGAATGACTGGCCCAAGGTCACCCAGCTGGCTTTGTGCCTAAAACTCATGCCTTCCTGGTTTGTAGCCTGATGCCTTAACTACTAGATTAAATGTCTCTTTTGGATTTTATAACCCCTTTGTCTTATCCAGTGGAATTGTTTTGAATGAGGTGGTGAAGTTGAGTTTAAAGGAGTTTAGCAGTTAAAGTTGAGTTTAGCATGCCACTCCTGAACTAAAGTGGACATAAAGATGATACTACTGTAGTAACCTGAGATTTAAACATCCAGACTCCTGCCAGATGACCAGTTGGCCTTTTCTTTATCTCTTTGTTGCCATTTAGTGGACCTCCCAATTATTATAACCCAGATGTAGTAACATGTGAAGTCAGCTGGGTCCTTAGGCAGTGCCATCAAAGAGTTCCCTTTAGGGAGGATGGGTGGCTATATGACATTGATGAATGAATGAATGAATGAATGAAATAAACCATATTGCTTGGCAACTTGAAGAGGTGTGGGCTTCAACTCCCAGGATTCCCCAGACAGTTTAGAATAGATAATCAAATGTGAGTTTTATTGCAGTGTCTCACTTTGCAGTAGGATTTTGCTTAATGTGCTCTCTAGTGGTCAAGGAGAGTCTTATAGAAGCTAAGCAAAGGGATTTGAATAGATCAGGGGTTCCCAACCGGGGATGCTTGCACCCCCTAGGGGTGCAAGATAATATTCCAGGGAGTGCAAAAACTTGGGTTTAGCAGTTTCAAAATTATAGTGTATATGCATAATTCGCTGCTGTTATTTCGAACTTTTGTAAGGGGTGCGAGAATATATCAGAAGCGTTCTAGGAGTGCGGGGTATAGAAAAGGTTGGGAACCGCTGGAATAGATGGTTCTGCGAGAGCTCACTGGGTATTAGAGACAGAAAAGACAGGAGGATTGTGTGCACCAACATATTTGTCTAAGGCTGCAATGTTGAGTCTCATCTGACTTTGATGGAAACCTTGGTGCTCTCTAAACTTGGTTGTCTGCTTGGAGACATTTCGTTACCAGATTAAGTAACATTTTCAAGGCTAGAAGGAAGTGGGGTCTCATTTGGCTTACTTTAAATGCTGTTTGGGCCAAAGGTCCATTAAAAACACATCTGAAAATGCTTTTGGAAGTTGTGTGCCTGCAAACAACAGCAACCAATAAACCAATACATTAAAAAAAACAGTTTACATCAGGAACATGAATGTTTAAAAAACTGCCTTAGGGATATTCATACAAAGTGATGCTGTAAAAATATGCATAAAGAAAAGGGCCCTGAGTCATTTACACAAGTAGTTATGAACATGGAGAAGATTGCACAAAAGCTCCATGGGTAGGATGAAGTTGTATGCATAAGTGGTGTGGTTATAATTTTTTTCCCCAGGGATTTGTTTCAAAACAGACTATGGATCCTGCCTCATTGCATAAACAAGAAATAGGCTAGAATTGCAATAGTGGTGAATGTCTGTAGCTTGGGTGTGGGATGAGGGCGAAATTTTGTTGTCTGAGCTTGCAGGTTGATTTCTGAATGTTTCGTTACCAGGCTAGGTAACACCTTCAGCGGAGTTTATAAGATGTCCAGTGTCAATGTTATTCTGTTCATAAGTGCTTCAGATGTAGGTGTGTTTCAAGTGAGGGTCTTGTGAAGCCTTGAAGCCCTTATAAACAGAAGAACACTGATACAGACATCCCCTAAACTCCACTGAAGAGATTACCTAGCTTGGTAATGAAACATTCAGAAACCAACCAATAAGCTTGGGGACCAGATCTTCACCCTCATAGACTAGAATTTTACTGATTTGCAGTTCTTAGTCTCCATGCAAGTTGCCTATCCTAATTTGGATAACTGGTCTATCAAAGATGGCAACTTGTTCTCTGAATAAGGCCTTTGACAATTTTTTTTTAGTTTTTTGGGGGTGGGGGGGTGGGAAGGTGGGTGGAAATAGGATATTTTCAGAATACCTCCAGAAGACCTGTCCCGTAGGTGGGACTCAGGCATACAGATCTGCTTACATGATCCATTTGCAGATCCAACATTTGGAAAACACTCCATTGCCAGAATTCATGTAAAAACTCAGTTAGTTTGATGACAAGATAGCCTTAATGCATATGGATGGGCTGGGGAGTTGGAGGCTACAATAATCTTTCCCCGGCGGCTAGATTTCCATTTTTCTGTGTCCAGAAGAGTTGCCTTCTAGATCAGCCTTTTTGGTGCAAAAATGAGATTGATCCTATCTGAAGGCTATGTCTTTCTCAGAAATTAAAACTACAGCTTCATGTAGAGGGAAATTCTGAATGACTAGTTAAATCAGCTTTGATTGTGCTAAGTCTCAAGATAATATAGGTCAATCTCTGCTCCAGGACGTCTGGCCCCATCAAACCAAAACACCCAGACTTTACTTGGTCCCTTTGAAGATTCCACAGAACCTCAGGCTGATCAGTGTGCTTGTATGCCTGCTCTAACAGTGTTGATGGTACTTTCTGTCCCATTAATTTTGGGTAATAGGACATCAGAATTCATTTGTGGAAAGCCTGAGAAATGACTAGTACATCTGTAGAATGCAAGAAGCGCATAAATTAATTGCACATGATCTAGCTGGGTACTGATAAAAAAAAGGCAGAACTTTTTTTTGAATCACATGTATTAAAATAATTATAATTAAAATCTAAAGGCTAGGGGATTTGGATATTTTTTATGACATGGCAGATAACATTCCACCCACATTCCACTAGGAACTCATTAACTTGATGTTTATATGACAACTGACATGAGCGTTTGTAAAATAAAGGTAGGATAGCAGGTTGAACTGGCTGTTTCCTCCAAGTAGGGGGGAATACAAATAATTTCAGATGGAGGATAAGGAGAAGCTAGGCTTCACTACTCAAACTATATAAATGGGTGACAAGAATTCAGCATTGGGATCCACAGAACCCATCTGCAGGCGAGAGGACGGACGAGTGAAGGTATAATGGAAGAGGACATTATACCTTGTTCCATTGGGTGGGATTGCCATGTTTCTAGATGGGTTGAGTAAGGCTTCTGGCAACAAGCTGGAAGTCATGTTTGATCATAATGAGTAGATCAAGAGCAAACTGCAACAAGCTGCCACGAGCCTACGGTTTTCCTTCTCTCAAATTGTGTAATCTCAAGAAGGAGTTTGGAAGCTGCTAGTTTTACTTAGCCTAGTTTTGTCACATTATCTGGCTAGCTTTGGTCAGTGCTAACTTTGGTTTCTTGGCATTTCCAACAAAACAGGTTTCTTTGAATGCACCATTGTGGCTTGAACCAAATCAAGGATGCAGTTGAAATGCTGAATGCTAATGGTGCTAAATGCAAACAAAAGTCAAATTGCTAACTCTTCTTTAAAGTCACTGGCAGAGAGAGGAGAGAAGAGGGGGCACTAGAGCCCCCAGCTAATTGTGACTTCTGCTCCTCAGGCTCAACAGTGTACAACTGTTATCCTGAGGAGTGTGCAACTTCCATTAGTTTGTAAAGAACATTATGCTTTGCATGTCATGCTGAAGGTTGCATTACTGTATTGTGTATGGCCAGGATTCAAGACTGGTCCAGTGATTGAGTGGAGATGGATGCCTGAAACCTCTGTAAGACTCAAACACCTATTTTGTCTCTTTGGCATCCTATGAAAAGGTCTATTGAAGGATGCAAAAGGGGAGCTTGTGGTTTGTATAAAGTACATGAACTTTGCTCCTGTGCTAAACTATGGTTGGGCATGATAACTTAATGTGTCTATTATTCTGATTCACACTACAAAGCCAGAGTGTAATGAATGTGTAAATGGAGGTGAAAATTCAAATCTTTCTTTGCTGAGATGGTGATGAGTGCTCTTTGCAAGTTGCTTATTTAAAGGCTGTATTCTTACAAGGAGCATAAAATAAATACAGCTTCTTCTGTTCCTTCAATATGCTGCATACATAAAGTAAGATCCTCAGCTTAAGATAAAGATGTCCTTTCCAGGCCAGGTTTGAAAATAAAGAGCCACACAAAGAAAAGCAGATGACTTAAAATTATCCATCACTTGGACAGGAGTTTGATAGCAGAGACTTAAATGTCACCCGGTTCCTCTTTTCCTGTTATAGAGAAAAATGGTATTCCTATTTAAATGATTGCTGTTATTTCAAAATGTGTATGTATGCGTATGCATAAAATATACAAATCTGTGCCCTTTTTAAAAATTATGCATGCCTTCTCCTTTCCCATAAGTTTGTTTTATAACCATTGTGACAATCTAGTTAATTTTTAAGGAGTTATAGGACTGTTTTGTTTTCTGTGATGGTACCAGTAGATTCTTCTAAACTAAGTTCTCAGGAATGCTTTGGAAGATTGCAGCAATGGAACCATGACAGATACTCACATCTGCTTTAACCTTGTTGGCATTTCAAATATCGCCTCCAAGAACCGTTGATCTGAAGGCTTTCTTTTTCTTCTTTTTAAGCAGCTATGGGGAGGATAAAAGACCTCCTCCTCTGCTTCTGGCTCTGCAGCTTCTGGGGTGAGTAACACCAAGGCTTTAAAAACGCCCTCCTCTCCTGTCCCCTCCACTCTCCCTCCTCCCATCCCATCCTATCTCCTCTCCTTTCCCCTCCCTGTATTTCCTTGAGATGCCTGCAGAAAAATATTGCATTTTTTATAAATGTTTTATTAATTTTCTATTTTCACAAACAAGTGCTCAATAGACAACGTGATGACTGTGTCTATTAGTAATTCTGTGGTACATATAAGCTTCTTTCAACTAAGTCCAATATTACACCCGCCAGTACATCTTCTCTTCTAGCAATAGTTTTTCCGCATTAAGCAAATACAATTCTTATTATGGTTAGTAAGCATACAATTGCATATCCACATTTGTTACATTTTTCTAATAATATCAGTTTAAAATATCTTTTCTAGCCAAAGCATATTTTAATTGCCTTTGCACTCAATTTCCCCTTATTTAATCCATATCCTATTTTTGCTTTTTTCAAAAATATTGCATTATGATGTTCTTCGGTGGTGTCTTCCCATATAGAGCCTCAAGGAAGAATGCCAGAATTATGACCGAGGCTTCAAAAAGGCATAAAGATTATCTGCAATAATTTTATGCAACCCAGCATTACTGGCTTCTTTAGCTAGTGTTTTCCCATCTTTATCCTAATTTCTGGATTTTATTTCTATCCTTCTTTCAGCCTCTGAGCCCAGGAATAGCCATAATTCAGATCAGGACTTGGGGACACATAATGAAATTACATTAGTTCCTTTGAATCCTAGTTGAGGGTGATTAATAATGGGGGATGAGGGATCTGTTCCTAATTCTTCCTTTTCTCTGTGGAGAACAGTCATCCAGGTCAGGATTGTCCCAAAGTTACTTTTTCAAGAAGCAACTAGACTTTCTTTGTTTTTCCTCGAAGGCATTTTGCTTCTCGTCCAAGAAACTTCTTCAGTTCTGATTGAATGGTCAGTCCCCATTCAGTCAGAACTGAAGAAGCTTCTTGGATGAGAAGCGAAATGTCTTCAAGGAAAAACAAAGACATTCCCTTGAAAAAGTACCTTTGGGACAATTCTTCCTTTTGAACAGAAGCTAAAAGGAGGTTAAAGCTGCAACTAAAACAGAAGTTGGAATTTGAGCAGATCCAATGTAACCATCTCTCCCCATCTGTTCTTTTCATCTTCCCCTCCCAGCGACCTGCCTGAGTCAAAGCATAGGAAGAGATTTTATCACCTCTTACATGCAAAATTTCGGGACACAGACCCCCAAGTTACAGCTTCAAATTACTGGCGTCTTTGACCAGACTACCGTCACCGTTTCTGTCCCGTGCAACGTCTGTGAGAAGGAATTTACGAAGACCGTTATTGTGCATAAAGGAAAGCTGGAGTCCATCGTCCTCCCTCCCTCTATTGAAATCACGGGTAGCAAAGTGTTCCCCAACGTGGTTCGCGTCTCTGCAGACAAAGATATTTCAGTGGTATCTTTCAGCTCCAAGCCTCTGAGCACTGAAATTTCACAACTCTTCCCTAGAAGTGCCTCAGGAACTGAGCATTATGTTGTCACCCCAACGGGAGGTCCTAGGGGGGCTTTCCCACAGTTTGCAGCCTTATCTTACGAAGAATCTAATGTGGTAGAGATCTATCTGACAGCACAGGTGGTCTTCGAAGGCAAAACTTACTCTGCTGGAAGTAAACTTACAGTAACACTGGCTGCTTTTCAAGGAATCCAGTTGCAAGCGACAGGGGACTTTTCTGGCACCAGAATTGTCTCTCAGAAGCCAGTGGTAGTCCTAGTGGGTCATATCTGTTCATGGAAATACACCAAATGCAACTTTGTCTTTGAGCAGCTCAGGCCAGTGAAAGAATGGAGGAAGAACTACATAGTCCCACCCATATCTTGGCAGACAAAGAGTGACATAGTGTTTATTTCCGCCTCCCGAACCACAGCCATACAATACCAAATGGGTGCACAAAGGCAGGCAGTAAATCTGAACGGTGGGCAAGTCCTGTCAATTAGTCTCTTGCCTAAAACACCATTATTTGTGCAAGCCGATGTGCCTGTGCAAGTACTTTTCTATAGCACAGGTGCTACTTACCAATCCTTTTCGTACGACACCTTTTTGATGGGGATTCCTGATACAGACTCATACAGCCAAATCTACAGTGTGGCTGGGCAGCCTAATTTTGCGAACTTTGCCATTTTGGTGGTAGAGACTTTGCAGATCAATGGTCTCCTAGTGGGAGGCCAGGCCCTACCTAAGTTGGAATGGAATCCGATTCCCGGCACAGTTTTCTCTTGGGCCTTGTATCAGTTGCAGGTGGTGCTTTTCCCCTATAGAGTGGAACATCCGAATTTACCATTTGGCCTCCTCATTGTGGGTGTGGCAAGCATGGACTGCTATGGGACTTTTGGTGGTAATTTGCAAGGTGAGTAGAATGTCCTCTGACTTATACTCAAGTTTTGGGGAATGGGAAGATATCTGGAATATTTAAGAGCCATGGTGGCACAGTGGTAAGAATACAGTATTGCAGGCTAACTCTGCTCATGCTGCCAGGAGTTTGATTCCTTTGAGCCTGATAGGCTCAAGGTTGACTCATCCTTCTATCCTTCTGAAGTCAGTAAAATGAGGACCCAGATTGTTGGGGACAATATGCTGACTCTGTAGAACCACCCAGAGAGAGCTGTAAAATACTGTGAATAGGTATATAAAATCTAAATGCTAGCGCTAAGTGCTATTGGAAGGGAACATTGTGTCTTCCAAATTTTTTTAATGAAAGAGCAAAGAATATTGTAGTAATACCAGTGCTGATTTCAGCCATTTGGCTATGGGCCTGGATAAGGGGAGCTTGCAATCCTTCTCAATAGCATCCTAATGGCCAATTTATTTGCCCTTTACTGCAACATCGGGGGGGTAAGGAAACCTAGGGAGTGGGGGCACTTCTTTGCAATGGCCTTAGTTTTGAATTGTCTTCCCATGATGTCTAACAAAATGCCAACATCTCAAAACAGTCATCTCCCTTCAAATGACATTGAATGGCATTTAAGATTAAGTGCATGGCATTTAGTGCCACAGTGAGTAACAGCCATTAAAAATCTTGTCTGATTATTGATGTAATCCTCTTTTAAAGCCTTCTAAGGATGGCTGTCACTGAGCTTAGTGACTGCCCTTTCTACTCTGTAAACATGCATTGTGTCTCCAGAAGTTTTGGGTGCTCCAACACTAGAAGTTTTAAAGAAGAGAGTGGACAACCATTTGTCTAAAATGGTGTAAGGTTTCTTGCTTGAGCAGTGGATTGGACCAGAAGAATTCCAAGGTCCCTTCTGTTGTTCTGTTATTCTGCCTTAATAGTCCACCATTCAACTTCATGGGATGATTTGATGTCCCATTATTATTTCCCCCTCTATTCACTTCTTCTCCTTGAATTACTGCTGTGACCAAGAGCTCCAAGTTGGAGACACGGTCTTGAGATGAGATGGATGGGACACGTCTTCAGAATGGATGACCTCTAGAGAACTGGTAGATGTCCATAAACAAGCTAGGTGTTTACTGAACCCAGATTATAGTTTATGTCTACTCTGGGCTCCCAAGGGTGAACTTTGGAGCTTTCTAAATTGCCATTAAGATACAAGTAGTCCTCAACTTACGACAACAATAAGCCCAAGTCTGTTGCTAAGTGAGACATTTGTTAAGTGAATTTTGCTCCATTTTACAGTACAATCTTTCTTGCCACATTTGTTAAGTGAATCACTTCAGCTGTTAATTTAGTAACCTGGTTGTTAAACGAATCTGACTTCCCCATTGACTTTACTGGTCAGAAGGTTGCAAAAGGGGATCACGTGACTGTAGGACACTGCAATTGTCATAAATACAAGTCAGTTGCCAAGCATCTGAGTTTGGATCATGTGACCAGGGAGATGCTGCAATGGTCGTAAGTGTGAAAAACGGTCATAAGTCACTTTTTTCAGTATGATCACTAAATGAACTATTGTAAGTCATCACCCTGAGGCATTGTGACACATTAAAATAGCACCAAAAGCAACATATCTTTGACCTAGGGAGCTATGACTATTATAGTCAGCTGAGCTTACTTGGGGACATGTGTGGGCTGAAGGAAGAAGGAAGCCCGTCAAGAGGAGTGTTCCATGATTCTCTGAAACTTTTGAAATCCAAAGCCAGGTTTGATCAACTGCTGAAAATAGCAATGCATTTTTGCTTTGAATCTGATTCTTCCATTAACATAGGACTAATGATTAAAATTGCATATCCGGTCCTTAGGTCCTCTCAGTTGCAGCCATGTCCTGTGCGAAAAAGGCCTTGAATGCAAGATGATCAACGGTCAGCCGCATTGTGTGCCAACTTCAAACGCTACCTGCGAGATATGGGGTGACCCTCACTACACTACATTTGATAAGTTTAAGTATGATTTCCAAGGGACCTGCACCTATACAATTGCCAAGACATGTGGCGATATCTTTGGACTCCCGTCTTTCCACATCTATGCCAAGAATGAAAACAGGGGGAGTAAACGTGTCTCCTATGTTGGGATGGTGACTGCTAAGATTTATGGATACACTATCACAATATCCAGATCAGAAAATGGTTTTGTGAAGGTAAGAGATGATTCAGAATTGATCTCAACTGCTTGAAGAATTGCTTCCCAACACCATTTAGATCAGTGTTTCACCTTAACCATTTTAAGATGCGTGGACCAACTCCCAGAATATCCCAGCTTAAGCAAGAAAAACCAAATGCACAAGTACAGAGTAGGTGGTACATGACTCAAAAGCCATAACTGTGAATCCTAGGAGTCCTAGTGAACAACCATTGAAGTATGAGCCAGCAATGGATGTAGCTGACCCAAAAATCAATGCAGTCAAGAGAGGGATAGGTATCAAGGTCATGTGAAGTGATGGTGATGCTTTATGCTGCTTTGGTAAGACCACATTTGGAATACTGTGTTCAGTTTTGGTCACCACAACACAAAAAAGATGTTGAGACTCTAGAGAGGGTGCAGAGAAGAGCAACAAAGATGATTAGGCAGCTGGAGACTAAGACATATACTGTAGTGCAGACATGTCAGACACAAGGCCTGGGGGCCGGATGCGGCCTGGGAAGTGTTTTCATGTGGCCTGCAAAGCCATCCTGGAAACAGTGAGGGAATGGGCCCCGCTGCCTTGGCCCTGGCCCAGGCCAGCCGGGAGCCAATGTACAATTTTGTCGTGGCCATCTATGTTGAAATGCATTCAGTCTTAGCTCCATAACTCCCCCCCCCCCGGCATGGCCTGAGAGGAACAGTGAGGCTCCTCCAGTGGACCATGCCTTGGCACTTGCCCTGGTCCCACCCTGTTCTGCCAGAGACCCTCAGATCTATCCCACTCCTGCCTAAACTCCCACAGGCACCTTTGATGCAAATGATGTAGAGCTGGCCACACCCACCCAGTAGGCCACACCCACTCCATCCACACCTACCCAGTAGGCCGCACCCACCCTGGCCACACCCACCTGGCCCCCTGAGGGCAACTGCAATGCTGATGCGGCCCTCAATGAAATTGAGTTTGACACCCCTGCTGTAGTGTATGGTTGATGGAACTGGGTATATCTAGCCTAATGAAGAGAAGGACTAGTGGGGACATGATGGCCATCTCCCAATATTTGAGGGGCTGCCACAGAGAAGAGAGGGTCAATCTATTCTCCAAATCACCTGAGGGCAGAACAAGAAGTAATGGATGGAAATTTATCAAGGAGAGAGCAACCTAGAACTAAGGAGAAATTTCCTGACAGAGAACAGTTAACCGGTGAAATGGCTTGCTTCAAAAGTTATGGGTGGAAAACCTTCCATCACTGGAGGTTTTTAAAGAAGGGATTGGACAGCCATTTGCCTGGAATGGTATAGGGTCTCCTGCTTGAGCAGGGGTTGGACAAGAAGATCTCCAAGGTCCCTCCCAACTCTGTTATTCTGTATTCTGTAAGTCCATATATCTTAAAATGCTAAAATTGAGAAGCACTGATTTAGATGGCCTTACGCCACTCATTCAAATTTGTAAAATGACTTTAGTGATACTCGGGGGGGGGGGCAATGCTGTATTTATTTGTACTGTTCCTCAAAAATCAGAGCGTGAACATTTTGTCAGCTAACATAAAATCTAGAGATGGAGTAAAAGACAACTCCAGGGTTAAGGTGGCCCTGGGAAAACACTACCTGATTTCCAAGACTTATTTCGGATTCAAAGGAAACCTGATGAAAGTGAATTCAAAAATAGTTTTTATTACTTGCCCTAAGCCCTTGTTAGAACAATGACAACTGGCCTATTTTTGTAGATTTAACTTAATGGCTACAGATGTTGGTTTAATTTTTGGAGTAGGAGTCAAGAAAAGAAGCTAAAAAAGGAAAACAGCATCTCATTAAATATAGTAATTAAATACATACATAGAAATAACTTTAAAGGGAAAGCAGAATAGGCAAAGCAAGCAGAATAAGAATCAAAGCTCATATTTATTTATTTAAAATAATGTTAGACTGACTTTCAAGGCAAAATCTTCTCTGTATCAAAACAAAAAAGCTTTTCATTGTTGATGGAATGCTATTTTGCATATAATGTGTCATAAAAGATTCATTTAAAAGTACAACATAGGTTTAAATTAATCATAATGAAGCTCTTTTTAAGTTGATTTCACACAATATGCTGCTTTAACAAAATGCAATGGCTGTCTTCACAAAAATACTAATACAGAAAAATAAATCAGAACATGGGACAATCTTGTGTTTACGTCACAGAATAGTTGGGGTCTTTCAATGTGCTGAAATATCAGCTACCAAACTGTGTTTTAGGGTAGTATGCTAGAACAAAAAAAAATTCTCATAGCTGAATGCCCAGCATACTTCAGGCTTCCCTGGAAAATAATTCCTTCCTATCTTAAGAAGTAATATTCAACTGAAATTATAACTTTTCTTGCTGAGATTAATTGACAACCAATTGGAAAAGAGCCATGGAAGCTTATATTTATCTATGATTACTGCTATGAGATTGTAACATGCACAAACATGGAAAGATTTCGAAATATCTACAATTGAGGAATAGTTGGTGAAGATGAAAGAATTAGCAGAGATAACAAAATTGACTTGTCTCTTCAGGGAAAGGAGATTAATTTATTTGTGACTGGAAACCCTTTATGGACTTTTTACCGAAAAAAGAAAAAAAATGACCTTGTGATTTCTAGGTTTGAAGGAAACTATGTTGTAACCTTAGAGAGAGGATAAAATATAAATGAACTTGTAACTGCTGTGAAGATCAAAAGCTGTTTCTTTGCATCTATTTTCTTCATTTGTCTTTTTTCTCTAATTTCTTTTCTTTTACTTGTCTTTACTTCCTTTTTCTTTCAATTTTATATCATAAAAACTATTTAATAAAAAATAAATATAAATATAAAACTCAGATTCTTAGATTCCCCTCCTTATTAGTTTGATAGTCTCTTATTTTATTTTATTTTTTTTTAACCTGCCTCCAACCCTGGGCCAGGAGCAGGGAAAATATATAAGCAATCGCTTCCTTTCCAGTTGGGGATCCAGATTACAATTGCTTCTGTTTATTGTTGCAATGCTGCAACCTTTGTGACTGTCCTTTCTTGCAATGCAGGTAAATGGCATGAAGGCACAGCTCCCCATCTACCTAAATGGTGGGTCTCTCCAAATCTTGCAAAGTGGAGGCTCTGCCTTAGTGATTACTGACTATGATCTCCGGCTATCTTATGACTGGAATCAACTCCTGCGTGTCACCATCAGCAACGCTTTCTATGGAAGTCTCTGTGGCCTCTGCGGGAACTATAATAAGGATCCTGGTGATGACTTCCAAACCCCAGCAGGAACAAAGGCCCCAGATGCCAATGCCTTTGGAAAAAGTTGGAAGGTGGATGTTGGTGACCAAGACACCTGTTGGGATGATTGCCACGGGCCTTGTGTGCCTTGCCAACCTGACCAGGCCCAGAAATACCAGTCTGAGCAATATTGTGGTCTAATAACCAAGGCTTCTGGTGGTCCCTTCTCTTCTTGCCATTCTAAAGTGGACCCCAACTTCTACTTTGAAGGTTGTGTTTATGACGTTTGCGCCAATGAAGGGCACAGACAATCTGTATGTGATGCCCTGGAGTCCTATGCAGATGCCTGCCAGAAAGAAGGGGTTCAGATTGGTGAATGGAGAAAATTGGCCGGATGCTGTAAGTATGCAAGGAATGTGGGAATGCGTCCCCTAGCCCCGAAATGAATTAGACCTGGATGCCAAGTGAGGGATTCAAGGCACGATGTAAAATGCTACCTTGAGGCTGCTTAGAGTGCCCAGATGAGGATTCAGGAGCTAATTTTGTAGAGTGCTAGCTGCAAGCTCCTCCATTATCAGTGAAAAGAACCTTGCCCCAAAAGCTGTTAGAAAGAAACTAAGAAAATACCACAAGTACAGGCAGTCCTAGCAATTTGTTTAGTTACAACAACACAAAAAGTGACTTGTGAACGTTTTTCACACTTACAACCATTGCAGCATCCCTATGGTCACGTGATCAAAATTTAGACGCTTGGCTACTGACTCATATTCATAACAGTTTCCGGTGTCTTCAGGGTCATGTGATTCCCTTTTGCAACCTTCTGACAAGCCAAGTCAATGGGGAAGCCAGATCCACTTAACAATCATGTGATTAACAACCTAACAACTGCAGTGCTTCACTTAACAAGTGTTGCAAGGAAGGTCCTGAATGGGGCAAAATTCACTTAACTAATGTCTCGCTTAGTAACAGAAATTTTGGGCTCAGTTGTGGTCGTAAGTTGAGGACTACCTGTATTATGAGTAAAATGGTCATAAATAGGAGCTAGTTGAGGGGCTGATCCCTTTCATCTCAATAAATCTTATTAAAGGCGTTTGCTTGACAATCTTGAATCGAAATAATTACTTTCAATTTGAACTCGCTTCAAAAGACACTCTGCATGTCTTAATTCTCCACTGGATTCCATGCTATTCTTAAAAATCAATCAGTCAGCACTTTGTGTTTATAATCACGTTCAGCTCTCATGAGCTGTCTTCCTTTTCTTTCCTCCTTTGGTTCTTTTCTCTAAAGAATAAGTGTACTTCCGCAAATTTCAGGGCATGCGTAAGCCAGGGGAGCCTCTTTGTATATAAATACTGATATCTGGAGAATTAGATTTCTACGAGTGTATTCTGAATAAATCATATTTCTTAAAATCCAGCTATCCTTTTTTTTCATATCGGTTCCTCTGTCTTTATCTCTCTTATCCTACCCAGTTTTAAATATGCCTTTAATTTACTAAAACTTGGTAAATAGCTGAAAATGGATTTAGGAACAATATAAAAACCACAGTGAGGATTTTATGCTGTTCCTTGGCCATATGCCGCATGCCCATCATTTTGATCAGGAAAACTCAAATGTTTTCCATGCAGGTTGAGGATCACTTTGACTTGGATTTGGATCTGTATTCCAAGGAAGGCAAATTCTAAACTGCAGTTAATTTAGAATGGATTCATGAACATTCCCCTATTATTTCCATATTTAAAAAAAACTGTGATTTGGCAGCCACCTTTGAAAGGAGTCCTGCAAGACGAATTAAGTCTTGAGATGGACAAATGCCACCCTGGTGGCCTCAAATTGTGCTATCCTTTTTAGGGATCGCTTGTTTTACATTGTGACCTTGTGATTCCCCACCAAATTCTCGATAAACTTGTGAAACAAATGCTCTTACTAATGGACCGGGTGATGAATTTGCATGAAGTGGATTGGCACCGAGGTGACAAAAATAAGGAACACCCCCCACATCAATACAACGGATTGAGTGACAATTGATTGATATATTTAGACATATTCAAACTTATAAAATGTGATGCACTTTCAAAGAGCTGAAGTCAGAGCTAACACAAAGTGGTTTCCAAAATTTACCAGCCCTTTTTGCAGCTGGCCATTTGGGAGTGTGTTATGTCTAATTATGGGGAATGAGGATTAATTTGATTTTTAAATGGTTTCAACAGGTGAGGATCTTATTACAGTAATGTGCTCTCTAGACAGCAGCCACTTATCAATCTGGGATAAATATAGTCCTGTCACTGCATATTAGCACATCTCTAAAGAGACACCGTCCATTCTTGCCCCTTCGGTTGCACAGGAAGGAAGAAAATATTGACCATTTTCTTTCTTTTCTTCACACAGTATCGGAATGTCCTCCCAACAGTGAGTACCAGCAATGTGGAACAGCCTGCCCAGCCACCTGCCTGGATGCCCAAACTCAGCAGCAACTCCTCTGCCCAGCGGTGTGCATAGCAGGATGTCAATGCCTGCCAGGTTATGTGCTGAGCCAGGGGAAATGCATCCCCAAGAGCAGTTGTGGATGTTGGCACAAAGGCTACCTCTTTGCCCCCAATGAGGGTTTCTGGGCCGATGATAAATGCACAAAGCGATGTGTGTGCAACCCAGCCATGAATCGGGTTGAGTGCACCCAACAAGCTTGCAAATCCACAGAAAAATGCCTAGTTGTAAAAGGTGTGAGGGAATGCTACCCTATTGACTTCGTTGACTGCAAAGTTCATGGCGATCCCCACTATATTTCCTTCGACAACTATAAATTTGATTTCCAAGGGCCCTGTGCCTATGTCCTCACTGAAGTGTGTGAAAAACCCATGGATCTGATTTGGTTTGGTGTCTATGTCCAGAATGAGTATCGGGGAAACCGTGCTGTGTCCTGGACCCGGAGTATACAAGTCAATGTCTATGGTATAGAGATCATAATCAGTAGGCAATATCCTGGGAAAGTCTTGGTAAGTTTGGGTAGTATCTGGTTATTACAATCTTGATCCCTCTTTGATGCTTATTAGATAAACAGAGCCCTACAATAGACTGATACTACATGAGGTCTCTAAAATGGGACAGCTTGCCATTTCTCTTTTTCATTCAAACCAAAATATAACTACTGGATGCCATACAAAGCTATCTGGCTGTTAATAAACTACTGAGTTTCATTGGATACAACTAATCCAGGTCTGCTGGAGACAAGCAACATTTTGGTCTTGAGGACCATATAAATTGCCACATTGGGGAACCTATAGAAAGTGGTCCACATTTATATGTACCTCTACAAATGTATATCTCTATACAAGCATTTCATACTTATACCTGTCCTCACATATACACATCCCATCCCTCTTGTGGTGAATAACTCATTTCTGATTTCTTGTGACAATATACTCTTGTAACACAACAGCTTCAGATAGGAATCTAGCTGGTTGCTGTTTTCCTATTAATAATATTAGAATGCCATTATTATTTTTTCTGCAGGCCAGCTGATTGTATATATCATTTGAGTATTTAAAAAGTGGGGTAAAATTTCCTATAGGATCCCAAGATGGATACTTGGCTTCTGTGCTATAGGTGTGTCTTCCTGTTAGTGGGTATTCTAAGACTCTGGCTACAAGGAGATTCCATGTCCTTTTTTTGAAGGCCCCATCGCCAGGCAATAGAGGCAAACATACGCACATTAATGCGGAATAGATGTACATAAAGATGTGTCTGTAGGAGAAGACCAGTCTGAGCTGGAGGGAGGGATCAAAAACATCATCAGTCATGAGTCCCTTCATGCCCAGAAGAGATCTATGTCCAGCTCAACTTGAATTCCTCCTCTTCTTATCTCCTGCTAATTCTCCTTGGCCGTTAGTAGTTCAAATTCTTGTAGAGAGCTCAAGCTTACAATAGAGCTCAAGCTTGCAATACCCATTTGAACTGCTTGGATCTCCAGATGTTCCTGGTATTTAACAATGGAAAAAAAATCAGTCCCATGATCTCACCTAGTTTTTGTTCCAACCGTTGTCCCCTTCAGCTACTGTAGAATAATGTCAAACATTTTATGATATCTGGTCAAAAAAAAAAAAAGTTCCCTATTTTTGCTATTGGTCTCAGGCAGGCAGACCCTGAGATGGACTAAAGAAATGAGAGGTAACTTGGATATGATTGGGTTTTGTTTTTCCCCCACCATTGCTCCTTTTCACTTGCTTAACGTAAGCATCCTATTTCTCCTTCATAGGTTGGGGGTATATTGACCTGCCTGCCTTATAATGCTGTTGGAAAAAAAGTCAAGATATATCGGAAAGGCTCAAGTGCTGTGATTGATACTGACTTTGGTCTCTCGGTCAGCTTTAATTGGGACCACCAACTCACGGTCACTGTACCCGGCACATATAGAAATACGCTCTGTGGCCTATGTGGGAATTTCAACAACCAACGTGCGGATGATGCTCTTGTGCCTGGGGGGATCCTTGTTCCCCAAATCCCCGTGTTTGGTGCTAAAGGCACAAAGACATATGACCCCAGCTGCAAAGAGGTCGTAGATCCCACCTGCCCAGGAGTTGACATCTTAGCAAAACAGCAGCGGGCTTCAGGACAGGATTGCGGGCTCATCGTAGCCACGAATGGGCCTTTCAGAGAATGCTATGGCCATGTGGATCAAGAAGCTGCCTTTGAGGACTGCATTTATGACTCCTGCTTCCTCAAGGGACACTACGCTTTTGTCTGTGCAGCAGTTGCCAATTATGCGAAGGCCTGTCAAGCTGCTGGCATCACCATCTACCCCTGGAGAATGTCAACCTTTTGCCGTGAGTCTCTGGGATGTAAACTGGGGGTTTTGACTTGGGGAAGACAAGTCCGTTTCTAGTAGGATTGGGAACACCAGACACAGAGAAAGGAGTCAGTGTAGATAAGAGAAGAAATGGAAAAGATGCTTCATGCTTAGCTTTCAAATAATCAAAGCACTTTAGTCATCGGAAAGTTGCAATTGTACTGGAGTAGAGATATCAAGGATAGCTTATCTTTCAATCAATCAGAATAGAGCTGGAAGGGACCTTGGAGGTCTTCTAGTCCAACCCCCTGCTCAAGCAGGAGACCCTATACTATTTCACAGTGCTTTTTTTGTAAAAAAAAAAAAAAGGTGCCAGAAATCACACACGTCATACAACCTGCCTTGCCTATCCTACAAGGTTCCATCCAAAAAAGGTGCTGGAACTCCGTTCTGGGCATTTTATGATAAAAAAAGCCCTGCTATTTCAGACAAGTGGCTGTCCAGTCTCTTCTTAAAAACCTCCAATATTGGAGCACCCACAACTTCTGGAGGCAAGTCATTCCACTGATTATTTGTTTTAACTGTCAGAAAATTCCTCCTTAGTTCTAGGTTGGTTCTCTCCTTTATTAGTTTCCATCTGTTGCTTTTTGTCCTGCCTTCAGGTGCTTTGGAGAATAGCTCATCCATTCTGTTTTCCTTTTCAGCTCCACGTTGTTCTGCCAATAGCCATTATGAATTGTGTGCTAAAGAATGTGACCAGGCATGTAGCAGCCTTTATTTCCCAACTCCTTGCCCCACCAAGTGTCAAGAGAATTGTGTCTGCAATGAAGGCTTTATTCGGAGTAACGATGCTTGTGTACCTTTGGCTAACTGTGGCTGCCTCCATCAAGGGCGCTATTATCCAGTTTCTGAAGTTTTCTATCCAACTTGCCAAGAACGTTGCATCTGCCAGGCTGGTGGGAGCGTGGCATGTGAAGTGACCCCTTGTGGTACCAACGAACAATGCCAACTACAAGATGGACACCAGAAATGCTACCCAACTGGAAGTGCCACTTGTTCTCTTGTTGGAGGTCTCTACCTTACTTTTGATGGGCTGCCCTATGACTTCCAGGGCACCTGCTCCTATATCCTAACCAAGCTGATCACAAAGAATGTGAACCTGCACCCTTTCACTGTAGTGGTACAGAATGAGGCCTCGGGGAATGGAAACATTGCAGTGCCCAAGGTGGTCACGGTGGAGGTCTCGGACTTAGTGCTTTCTCTGTTGAAAGACAAATGGGGATATGCCCAGGTGAGTTTCTCAACCCTGTTCATTGGATGTGCATGTGGAGTAGTGATGGTAGTGGTTTTCTCTGCCCTCTGGAGAAATTCCATCCCATGTAGAATAATAGTAGATGTAATTACAGTAATTAGGTGAATTACAGAGTAAATGTCCAGTGTCCCATTCCATCTGAAGGAAAGGTCTCAAAATGTATATGGTGATTTTCAGTTATCCAGGTCCCCAAAGGTGCTTTTCCAAAGGCAACTCAAATCAACCACATAGCCAACCAGAGACAGCACTGACCCTCAACCAACTAACCAACTCTTACCTCTCTCCAAACTGGAGCAAAATCATCACTTCCATTTCTAGGAATGTTTCTACTTTCACATCCCCTTGGTCAAGGGGAATGAAAAAAAAATCTCCTCCTCCTCCTCCTCCTCCTCTTCCTCCTCCTCCTCCTCCTCCTCCTCCTCCCTGTTACAGTTTTTCAGGAAGATATAATTTTACTCTGACAGGTAAATGGTATACTCCATCGCCTCCCTGTAAAACTTTTGGATGGAAAACTCCGAATCTACCAGCACGGCTTATATCAGAGGATTGAGGCTTCCTTTGGTTTGACGCTGACCTTTGATCTCTTCTACAATGTGAGAACCACTGTTCCCAACAACTACCAGGGTCATCTGGGTGGCTTATGTGGAAACTACAATGGACAGCCGAAAGATGATCTTCAGCTACCAGATGGCATGGTGACCTCAGATGTGATTGTGTTTGCTGCTGCCTGGAAAATCCTGACCCCTGGCATTCCCTGCTCAGATGGGTGCTCTGGGAAGAACTGCCCAATTTGCACAGAGGAAAAGATAAATTTTTTAAAGCAGCGCTCCTTCTGTGGGCTCCTCACAGCTTCTGATGGGCCGTTCGCCTCTTGCCATGGTGTTGTGAATCCCATTTCCTACCTAAACCATTGTGTCTTTGATATGTGCATTGGGGGTGGGGACAGACAAATCTTGTGTCATAGCATCCAGAGCTACGTGGCAGCCTGTCAAGAAGCCAAGGTCACCATCCAGCCTTGGAGGAGCCCAGACTTCTGTCGTGAGTAGCGATCAAGAAGCATTACTAATTGGAACACAGATAGAAAAAGATGGATATCCCCAATATAAAGACTAGGGGGTTGTGTGAACCAGCTAGGATTCTGTGATTCGGTTCCAAAAGTTGATGCAAAATTAAAAAGTCAGTGCAATCTGAAGAGTTGATCTGACCAACGTATATGCACACATAGATAAAAAAAATCCACCAAATCTTCAGAGGTGCCCACTTCTGTTTGCTGCATTGAATTGTTGGAAGATTGGTGTGAAGATTCAATTCAAACGATGATTTGACCACATTGGCTCTAAATAGAATCTTTGATGCTTTGCACAGCCTTAATTAAGAACCCTGAAGAGAGAAAGAGAATTAAGTAGATAATTAGAAGGTAGTCAGCACTTAACACCCCTGTCTTTTCACTTGGCCACAGCTCAAGAAAGTTCATTGCTTTGGCTAGTATGACACCTTGCATTCCCAAATAGGAAATATTGCTATCTATTATCTCTACAATAATCATTAGGGTAAATGTAGAGAAGATAGAGGAGGAAGCCAGCCTGGGGTGTCCAGCCCAGGGTTGTCCCACCAGGAACCACCTTCTGTCTATTCCTACCCTTGTTTCCCTGAAAATAAGACCCAACCGGAAAAATAAGCCTAGCATGATTTTTCAGGATGCTGGTAATATAAGCCCCACCTCCAAAATAATCCCCAATTAAGATTGTCAGCCAGCCAGACACATTTAGTATCACATTTCCCCAAATATAAGCCCTAACTGGAAAATAAGCCCTAATGCATCTTTTGCTGGCTGAGGAATTCTGGGAGTTGAAGTCCACAAGTCTTAAAGTTGCTAAGGTTAGAGACCCCCTGATCTAGATGTTTGTAAGAAAATACAAACAATGCTAACTGTTGCCACCTACTAGTTGTTGCACTTCAGCCCACCCTTGGCAACTCCTGCCTGCTGGAGAATTCTCTGAGTTGAAGCCCACACATCTTAAAGTTGCCGAGGTTGAGAAACATTGCTTTAGCTGATTAGTTCCTCTTACCTGTTCTTCTGCAGCGATCACCTGTCCAGCCAATAGCCATTTCGCCATCTGTTCTAATATCTGTGAAGTCACCTGTGCTGGGCTTACGGATCACCTTGAATGCCCAATGACTTGTGTTGAAGGTTGTCAGTGTGATGACGGCTTCTTCTGGGACAGCCTCAAATGCATCTCCCTGGATGAATGTGGCTGCTTTGAACACAACACATACTATCCGGTAGGTTGAAAAGGAAGGCAGTGGTGGACCTCAGTTTGTTTCTTGGATTGGTCTGCAAAAATCACATTGGTATTAAACATTTAGTTATGTTTGTTATTTACTTTTTCAGCTGGAATCAAGATAACATTGTTAATTTGCTGCAGGCCCTGGGACTTTTTTTTTTTGAGACCAGGTTTTGGAGGTTTTCCTCCCATTCACCCCAATCTGATGCATTGGTAGCCTATCTTTGCTAGACTGTTACTGTGCTTGTAATCAGAAACTAATTTCATTTGTTAACTGCTTATAATAGCTTTTGTGTTAAGTGCAGCTCAGTTTTATAGGAGAATTACTGTACTCCTTAATTAGTCAGTTCCTGTTCCCTGTAGAGTGTTTTATTAATCTCTTGATGTCACTCGCTGTGCAGATGGTCAGATGGATGAATTAATCCAGGAACTGGTAAATTGCTCTATTGTTTTAGATGGTACAAAAGAACCTCACAGCAAAAGCAAACCATTCAAGGTGTCTTCAGGGGATTGTTGTCCTTTTATGAATGGCTCCATTGTAAATTAATGCAGTGGAATGAAAAACTCAGTATGATAACGTTTCATAAAGCCCTGGAAGATCATGAGACAAGTGGCCCTAATTGCTTAGATCCAATCCGATGCAATCCAATGCAATCTAGAGGCTTTTAAGAAGAGAAAGGACAGCCACTTGTCTGAAATGATACAAGTCTGCTGCTCGAGCAGGGGGTTGGATTAGAAGACCTCCAAGGTCCCTTCCAATTCTGTGTTCTGAGTTCTAATCCCATCCCTCTATAGATTCTTAATATGTATCTAAGACGATCTAGCATTCCATTCCTCTCCCTCAATCCAGTAAGGAATTACAGCTTCAAGACAATTAGTATTTCCAAGAACCAATGAGGATCTTCTATAGGAACCTTCCATGTAGCTGCAAAGCATTTTCTAAATAAGCTTTGTTCTTTCCACAAAGCTGGTGGAAGCATTGCAGAAGTACATGAACCTGTTCCTGAATGAGATTGGCCTTGCTGTTTATAACTTTCTCCCAATACGATTGTTTAAAAAAATGTGGCTTTGGATCGTTTTCTCTTACCTGTGGTTGTTTTTCCTAACGCTCAGCCTGATGTGCCCATCTTGCAAAACAATTGCAAGGAGAAGTGTGTCTGCAGTCCAGCTGGAGGATTCTTCTGCGAAGACCATGCTTGCGCGGCCAATGAAGCCTGTGTGGTGAAGGATGGGATTATGCAGTGCCAGAACATAGGTAGCGGATGATACCACCTCACTTGTCAGTACTTGATGGATGGAGAAAGAAGGATATGATTTTACATCCATCAGGGTATCTTGAGAGTAACCAGTAGTTCAGCCATGCTGGACAATGATCCTGTGGGTATAGATTAAAGCTGCATGCAGTGTTGTGTGAAATGCATGTATTTCAATTTTAGTAGCTGCTATGGGAGTCCCAAAAGTGCTTTTTCACGAGGCAACTGGATTTCTTGTTTTTCTTTGAAGATGTTTCGCTTCTCATCCAAGAAGCTTCTTCAGCTCTGACTGGATGGAGGGGAATGGTCATTTGCATTCTTTTTAAAAGAGGGATCAAAGAAGCCATCTGTGTCAAAATTAAACAGCCCTCTCTCAACAAAGGGGGAGGGATACGACATCATCTATCTCCAGTCTATAACGCAGTCCTTTCAGCAGTTCCAAGTAGGCTCCACACCCATTTGCACTACTCAGGTGACCCTGATGATAAACCTCCAGGTGGCCTCAATGACTCTCTAAAAGAATGCAAATGACTAACTGTCTGCAAGCAGTATAAGTCCTTCCATTCCCCACCATCCAGTCAGAGCTGAAGAAGCTCCTTGGATGAGAAATGAAATGTCTTCAAAGGAAAAACAAGAAAGTCCAGTGGCCTCGTGAAAAAGCACCTTTGGAATAATTATGATCCAGATGACTGTGAAAATCTACATAGACATTCTACTGTGGGAGGGACTCTAATTCTTTCTATTTCCCAGAATGCCTTTCTGAGCATTTATATACCTGGGAGGATTTTATACATAGGTCTAATACAACATCTACTTAATCTGTATTTGTTCAACATGCTTAACCAAGTCACTAACCAACATCATGGCTATATTTGCTCAACTTGCTAAACCTGGTTAGTTTTAATCTGTGGTAGATTTTGTGTGTGGTTTCACATGGGGTGCAAGTCTTGGTTATTTGAACCCAGGCTAATTTATGCTTCAATATATTCTGCAACCTAGAAAATGGCCTATCTGTGAAATCAGATTAAGCATGTTGTATGAGAATAACCACAGGGTTATCCCAGCTGCAGATGTATATACATTTCAAGACATACTGATCCTCTTCTAGACTTACTTTCTACTTTTTGCAGTCTATCAAAGAGAAGGATTGGGGGGGGGGACACATGCTAACTGTCTTCCAGTACTTGAAGGGCTATCACAGAGAAGAGGGGATTGACATATTCCCCAAAGAGCCAGAAGTAATGGGTGAAATCTTGTTAAAGAGAGATCCACCCTAGAAGTAAGGAGAAATTTTCTGACAGCAAGAACAATTAAACTATGGAAGAATTTGCCTAGCAGAGTGTAAGTGCCCAATCACTGGACGTTTTCAAAAGTAGACTGGAGAGCCATTTGACTGGGATAGTATAAGGTCTCTTCCTTGGACCGGAAGACCTCTGAGCTCCCTTTCAGATCGATGATTCTATGTTCTATCTTTTTTCCCCCCAGATCCTTGCAAAGTTAAGATTTGCCGTCCCAAGGAGACATGTAAGGTCAAGGATGGACAGGCTGTTTGTGTCCCGGACTATCAGGGACACTGTTGGTGCTGGGGGGACCCACATTGTCATACCTTTGATGGTTACAGCTATGACTTCCAAGGCACTTGTTCCTATGTGCTCACTCAGTCGACAGACATCGATCAAAGCCTTGTACCCTTTTTAGTGGTGATAAAGAATGAAAACCGAGGGGGTAACAACGCTGTCTCTTACGTGCGACATGTCCAAATGCGTGTGTATGAGCAAGAGATAGCCATCTATAAACAAGAAAATGGCAGAGTCTGGGTAAGAGCAGTTTTATCAATTGCTATGTTGAAAATTCACTTTATATTTCCGCCCCTACCCTATTTATTTAAAACATTTATATAGCTAGCCATCTTTTAGCCACCTCTGGGCAGTTCTCAATCAAATTGATAGGAGGAAAATGTTTCCAAATTCTTAACTGTCATTTTTAAGTACAGATAGTCCTCGACTTACAATAGTTTATTTAGTAACCGTTCAAAGTTACAATGGCACTGAAAAAAGTGACATGACCATTTTTCACATGCCTGTTGCAGCATCCCCATGGTCCTGTGATCAAAATTCAGATGCTTGGCCACTGACTCATATTTATGACGGTTGCAGAGTCCCGGGGTCATGTAATCCCCTTTTGCAACCTTTGGACAAGCAAAATCAATGGGGAAGCCAGATCCACTTAACAACCGTGTCACTAACTTAACAACTGCAGTGATTCACGGAACTGTGGCAAGAAAGATCCTAAATTGGGGCAAAATTCACTTAACAACTGTCTCACTTAGCAATGTTGGGCTCAGTTGTGGTCGTAAGTCAAGGGCTATAATGCTTTTCACTTAAGGAGGGAGTAATTGAGGGCAGTATCTGAATGTCGTATCTTTCTTGCAGTCTGTCCTTCCTTGCTTTGCTGATGGGAAATCCAACTCAGATTGATCTGTCTCTCTCTTCTTGCTTCCTAAAAGCACACTTATTTGCAAATTTCTTTTCCAATCCTTCTGACACAGGTTAACGGGGTGATCTTCAACCTGCCAGTAACTCTTCTGGGAGGTCAAATCCGGATCTTCTCAAGTGGCAACTCTGCCAATGTGCAGACCGACTTTGGCCTATTGATGGCCTTTGACTATAAGTGGCAAGTAGACGTCCACCTGTCTAGTAGCTATTATGGAAACACCGAGGGACTTTGCGGTAATTTCAACCAGCTGCCAGGGGATGAACTAAGGAGCCCCAATGGTTTTCTGTTGCCCACTGTGATCAGCTGGGCTACTTCCTGGACAGTGGAGGACGGGGATCCACTTTGTTTCCATGAGTGCAAAGGTGTATGCCCCGTATGTGAACCGCAACAGCTGGCAAAATACAAAACAGATGGATATTGTGGGATCGTCTCTGTCTCAAATGGACCCTTCCAGGATTGTCATGCTGTTTTAGATCCTAACATTATCTTAGACAACTGTGGTTTAGATGTTTGTATGAATGGAGGAGACCATGACATTCTGTGCCAAGCTGTGAGCTCTTATGCTCAAGCGTGTCATCAGAAAGGCCGCCGAGTTGGTGATTGGAGAACCCCCATCAATTGCCGTAAGTGCTGAACATTTGGTCGTCTGCAGTGTTCTAGCTTAATATCCATACTAACAACAATTAAAGCTAGTACAAGACCAACACGATGTAAGTAAGGAGCAAAAACCAAAATAATTTTTTTTAAAAAATCTAATTGTGTTAAATAAATAAATAACAGAAGAGCAGAGTTGGAAGGGACCTTGAAGGTCTTCTAGTCCAGCCCCCTGCTCAAACAGGAATTCTCTATACCATTTCAGACAAATGATGGATAACACATTTAAGCAACTTTTGTTCTCCTTCTGGAAGGAATACAGGTAGTTCTCAACTTAGTGACGACAACGGAGCCCAAAATTTTTGTTGTTAAAGTGAGACGTTTGTTAAGCGAGTTTGGCCCCATTTTACGACATTTCTTGCCACAGTTGTTAAGGGAAACACTGCAATTGTTAAGTGAATCTGGATTCCCCCATACTTGGCTTCTCAGAAATTCGCAAAAGGGGATCACATGACCCCGCCCCCAGGACACTGAAACCATCATAAATATGAGTCAGTTGCCAAGCATCTGAATTTTGATCCCATGACCATGGGGATGCTGTAACGGTCATGTGAAAATTGGTCATAAGTCACTTTTTTCAGTGCCGTTGTAACTTGGAATGGTCACTAAGTGAACTAAGTCAAGGACTACTGTATCTTCTTAAATAGGAGATCTTAACAAGGCTGATGAGATCAATAGTTGGCTGCCTTGCTTTCTGAAGCAGGAAGTCCTAGGTTTTAGGGACACAGGTGGGTATGTATCAATGAAGACGAGCATAGAAGCTCATGAAGATAACTGCCTGAAGTGTGGAAGGTGTATAGAAAAGGTGGTCGGCTACGTGGAATTTAGACAATGAGAAAATCATAGTTATTCCTTTCACTTCCTTTCACAGCTGTCCCTTGTCCTGAAAATAGCCACCATGTGTCTTGTGGAAGTAGATGTCCAGCGACTTGTTCCTCCCTCAACGCACCCGTGTTTTGCACATTGGAATGTGTGGAAACCTGCCAGTGTAACGACGGCTACGTCCTTAGCATTGACAAATGTGTGCCCATAGAGAGCTGTGGTTGCTCTCACAATGGCATCTACTACAAGCCAGGAGAAGAATTCTGGAACAAGGACTGCACTTCACATTGTAAGTGTGATCCCAGGTTTGGTGTCGTGGTGTGCACCCCAGCTTCCTGCCAGACTGGGGAGCAGTGCAAAGTGGTCAATGGAATACGCGGATGCTATGCTAGCTCTTCTACCTGCATCTCCACGGGAAACTATGAATATATCACCTTTGATGGGCACAGCTATAGATTTGAGGGCAGGTGCATCTATCAATTGTCTAAAGTCTGCCTTCCCAAGCTTGGTCTCACACCGTTTGACCTCTCAGCTCAAAACAGCCCAGCTCCTGATGGCCGTGCGGTTACATTAAAAGTGTATGGAAAAACCATTACTGTCCGTACCGATCAGGTGGAGGTAAGACCTTTTTACTCAATATGTTGAACCAGGCCAATTTAAGATTTAACTTCTGCATTTGCATGACATGCTAATCTAGGTTTGTTTTAACTTTGAATAGTAGTTAAAGTCATAGAATAGTAGAAAAGTCAAATTCAGAAAACCTGAATTTGGTTTCCGATTTAATGTTTCCTTTTGGGCTTTCTATGAAACCAGACTATTGGGTTAATTTCCAGATCAACATATCACATAGATCTAGGAAAAATGATTAATTCAGTAATCAGATTGACTGTCGATAAAAAAAAAAGGCAGGGTAAAAATTTAAAATAATTATTAAACGTAACATTTCTTGCCCTTTTAGGGTTTGCAAATTTTGCAGTAGGTGTTAATTATTACTATTATATTTTTTTGGCTTCGGTTAGCATGGCTTATGATATGATTATATTGCCAGATAGGCACAGCTGATATTGTAGTTGGGTTTTTTTAATAACAGAAAAGTGGTTTATTGATCCTCCCAGAATATTAACATGCTTATTTGGGGTTTCATTCTTTACAAATGGGTCACATATTATGTTGCTGAAAATTACTATTTTATAGAATTGAATTTCAGCAATATGATCCTAACGGGCCCACTGGGGACTACAACACTTAATCTGAGGCGGCACATGTGATCTTCAGGCAATTATGTATCTACCCATATTTAATGGCAGTGTGTGTTTAGAAATACAGTATATGCAATCTTAAGTTTAAAAGTGTTCTGATTCTGTAGCAAGAAAGGCTGGATTTTTCAACCTGTGGGAGTTGACGTCCACAAGTCATAAAAGGGCCAAGTCTGAAGACCCCTGGTTTAGAGTGTATTTCCAAACATTTCTTTTTCCCAGCACTAAAAGAGCTGGGAATTTGGGGTTTTGTTTAGTTTAATTTGAAGAGAAACAAAATTAAATTATCTCTTTTATTCAGCTGGATGGCAACCCAGTGAATCTGCCTTTCAATTATGAGGAAAAAATTAAGGTTAATTTTGACGGGAGTCATTTTGTCCTTGTCACAAATTTTGCCCTGGTGGTCAAACTCACCAAGGGAAACCTCAACATTGAAACAACCGTGCCCGGGAACTATGCAGGACATTTGTGCGGGATGTGTGGAAACGCCAATGGAAACCTTGCTGATGACACATTGCAAGAATACGGGGAAAATTGGTTTGTAGGCTGCTCTCCAGGCTGTTCCCCAAATTGTCCTCCCTGCTCATCCGCTGAACTAGAAAGATATCAAACAGATTCATTCTGTGGGTTGTTGAGCCGGCCCGATGGACCCTTCGCTTCCTGCTATGAGGCCATTCCAGCTGCACCCTTCTTTGATGAGTGTGTCAAAAAGACCTGTGAAGTTCGGGGACAGATGAATGTTTGGTGTGACGTTATTACTTCTTATGTAGCAGCCTGTCAATCCAGAAGTTTCCCTTTGAAGAACTGGAGGACTGAAAGCGTCTGCCGTAAGTTCGAACTTGAAGCGTTGGAGGGTTTGGCTGAAGGGGGTGAGTCAAAGAGAGCAACTGAATAACAGAATAACAGAGTTGGAAGGGACCTTGGAGGTCATCTAGTCCAAGCTCCTGCTCAGGCAGGAAACCCTATACCATTTCAGACAAATGGCTGTCCAGTCTCTTCTTAAAAACTTCCAGTGTTAGAGCATTCACCGCTTCTGGAGGCAGATTGTTCCACTGATTAATTGTTCTTAACTGTCAGGAAGTTTCTCCTTAGTTCTAGGTTGCTTCTCTCCTTGATTAGTTTCCATCTGTTGCGTCTTGTCCTGCCTTCAGACGCTTTGGAGAATAGCTTGACTCCCTCTTCTTTGTGGCAGCCCCTGAGATATTGGAAGACTGTTCTCATGTCCTCCCTCGTCCTTCTCTTCCTTAACCTAGACTTACCCAATTCCAGCAACCGTTCTTCATATGTTTTAGCCTCCAGTCCCTTAATCAACTTTGTTGCTCTTCTCTGCAATCTTTCTAGAATCTCAACATCTTTTTTATATCATGGCGACCAAAAGTGAATGCAATATTCCCAGCATGATCTTACTAAAGCACTATAAAGTGGTATTAACTCTTTGTGTGATCTATTTCTCTGCACACTGCTGGCCTGGCTCACATTTCAATGATTGTCCACTAGGACTCCAAGATGCCTCTCACAGTTACTACTGTTGAGCTAAAGGGCCTTGAGAAACTTCATTAGTTAATGCAGCTCGTGTATTTCAGCTGAATTGGATTGGAGCTGCTATATATACTGATCACCTGACCTAGCAGTTATGATAACTACAATTATGCCAAAGATTATTTTTGTGATATTTCTGTTCATCATTAAACTGCAAGCTGAGTAGCTAAAGCTGCAGGTGAGCTTCCTGTTCTTTAAACATATTTATTATAATACAAAACTATCTCATAGAGGCAATGAACATGATTAATTAATCTTCTGCCAACATTAATCCCTCCCATAGTGCTTGATGGAAGAATCTTCTCTCTTTCTAATCTAACCACCTCATCTATGCTGGATTAAATGTTGATCCAGGAGCTGCACATGGCTGTAGTTTCCAGACTTCACGTTGAATTCTTTGTCACAAAATGAAGAATATTTCAGCGTCATTTCTTTGTACCTGTTGAGCACAATCCATTTATAATTTTGGTGTTGACATCGGTTGTAAGGACTAGGTTCACCTAATATAGGTAGTCCTTGACTTATAAGAGTCCATTTAGTGACTGTTCAAAGTTACAATGGCACTGAAAAAAGTAATTTATTTTTCACACTTAACAACCACTGCAGCATCCCCATGGTCACGTGATCAAAATTCAGATGCTTGACAACTGACTCATATTTATAACGGTTGCATTGCCCTGGGGTCATGTGATCTGCTTTTGCGACCTTCCCACAAGCAGAGTCAATGGGGAAGCCAGATTCACTTAACAACCATGGTACTAATTTAAGAAGTGCAGTGATTCACTTAACAGCTATGGAAAGAAAAGTCGTAAAATGGGGCAAAATTCACTTAGCAAATATTTTGCTTAGTGACAGAAATTTTGGGCTCAGTTGTGGTCCTACGTTGAGGACTACCTGTACAGTTCTGCTGTGGACAGCATAGTAGCTCAAATGTTCTGGTCCTTTGCTTGATCATCTCTTTATTTTTCCTTATCTAGCTCATCCCTGCCCAGCTAACTCTCAGTATGAACTTTGTGGGACCCGTTGCGCTGCGACCTGTGAAAACCCCCAGCTTCCTCTGATGTGCAGGGCACCTTGTGGTGAAGGTTGCATCTGTAACCTGGGGTTCATCTTGAGCGGGAACCAGTGTGTCCCACTCCAGGAATGTGTCTGTGAATTTGAGGGCGTCTACTACAAAAAAGGAGAGGAATTCTTCTCCAACGTTTTCTGCCGGAAACGCTGCCGATGTATGGAAGATGGAACAGTTCAGTGTCACGACTTCTGCTCCGATGAGGACTTCTGCAAAGTGGTGAACGCTGTCTCAGTTTGTTTCCCCAGAGAACCAGGCACCTGTTATGTACTGGACGGCTGGAATTATGTCACCTTTGATGGTGTACATTATTTGCTGCCAGCTCTTTGTTCCTACATACTTGCCCAAAGTGACGAGCAGCACAAATTCTCCATCGTCCTGTCAGCTGGATCCACTGGCATTGAGGAAGTCAAGATTCAGGTTTCTGGATATCATGTAGTTCTTCAAAGAGGCAAGGCCTGGGAAATTTTGGTGAGTCTTTCCCATGCCAAATATACAGGAAAGGGTCCAGTCAATCTTCCATTGAGGTTCAATTTTTTTTATTAGTTTATCAAAATATAAAACACACAAATACAAAGAAAAATGAAAACAATGGGAAAAGAGAAGGGAAAGAGGGAAAAAGTATAGGAAAAGGGGCAAAGAAAGGCAAAATCACTGACTTTTGACTTTTTTTGCCTCGGTGGAATAATGTAATAACATACAACTAATAATATATACTAGCCATTTTTTATAATAACAAACCTATCAAATCAGCAAAACCAAAAATGGGTCCTCATCAATCTTCCTGATCGTGAGGAGGAATGATCCCAATGGATTTCTCTCATAAGGTTTTTATTGAATGAAACAAACTTTGATATCTTATAAAAACAAACTCCTCTTTCTCTTTCTAACTGGGTGCATAACATACTGTATATTAACCCTGCCATCCTTTATCTCAACAAGGTGCTTCTCACGGAGACACTGAGTTCCTTGTTGTGGAGATGGTTGCGTTTGCTTCAACAAGCTGCTTCTTGTGCTTCTGGGACTTCTTCTGGCTCCTGGCATGCTGGATGAGTCCTTGGAACAATCTGGAGCGAAGTGACATGCCAAAGGACCCCCCATTTTAGAAGCATGTGCGTGGGAGGGAGGGGAGAATAGCACATTGTATCACAAAGTGTCTTTCAGTGGGTACTTTGTGCAAACTTTCTTTCAAGCAAAGCACTCCACACACCTTTCAGAAGTTAGCACATCTTTATTCTAAATGCAGATTTGTTTTACCCATGTTGGCTTGACCCCTAAAGGAGAAAAGGATGGGCAGTCATATATAAGTCATGTGTCACAGCCTAACTCCATCCAGCTTCGCCTTTCCTTGCTATTAGCTCTGAGATAATGACATTAGTTTCAACGGATCTACTGTACAGATAATCCTCAACTTACAACAGTTTTCAAAGTTACAACGGCATTGAAAAAAATGACTTATGGCTCTTTTTCACACTTACGACATTGCAGCATCCTCATGTTCAGACCCTTGGCAACTGACTCATATTTATGACAGTTTGCAGTGTCCCGGGGTCACGTGATCCCCTTTTGCGACCTTCTGACAAGCAAAGTCAGTGGGGAAACCAGATTCACTTGACAACCAGGTTACTAACTTAACAACTGCATTGAGTCACTTAACAAGTAAGAAGTAAGAAAGGTTATAAAATGGGGCCAAAGTCACTTAACAAATTTCTCATTTAGCAACAGAAATTTTGGGCTCAGTTGTGGTTGTATGTTGAGGATTACCTGTAGTTCATTCATTCCAGTTGTGTGGTGGCCTAGTGGTGAAGATGCTCTCCTTCCACATGGAAGATTCAGAGTTCAATCCTAGTAGAGGCAGATGTTTCCCTGCTTGGGCGCAAAGAAAAAATATCTACTGCAAACTCTGCATAGGCATCTGGAAGGGCATCTGGCTAGTAAATTCTTAGCTCCATCCAATCACACCAACTCTACCCTGAATAGAGACTACGGGGTGGTAAAAAGAAAAAAACCTTCAGTTCATTTATTCCTCTGATATTCATTAAGAGATGAAATGCAAATAGATACACCGGATTCAGTCTTGTTTCTTGCATCTTGTTGCCCAGGTCAATGGAGAACGTCTTCACTTGCCAGCTAACTTTGGAGATGTCTCGGCGAGACAAGAGGGAAAAGTTGTGCTAATTCGTAGCAATTATGGCCTGCGGGTTTATTATGACCATAATGATTGGGTTGCAGCATCTGTACCTGGTACCTACCAGGGCCTCTTGAAAGGTCTTTGTGGCAACTTCAACAAGGACAAGAATGATGAATTCTTCTTGCCCAATGGGAAGCCAGCCCAAGATTTGACTGAGTTTGGAAACTTTTGGAAAATTGAAGGTGGCAAATGCTTGGAAGGCTGCAAAGATAAATGCTATCTCTGTGATAAAAGTACTGAAGCAACATTCCAAGGCAAAGACTACTGTGGGTTGATCCAAGCTGTTCCAGGTCCATTCAGTAGATGTCACACCATCGTTAACCCAGAGCACTTCTTCAAGTACTGCGTGGCCAGGCTGTGTTCCAGTAATGGAGCGACAGAATCTCTCTGCCAAAGTCTCCAGGCCTATGCAACGGCTTGTCAAGTGGCTGGGACCACCATTGATGAATGGAGACCATTTACCCGTTGTTGTAAGTCAAGATGGAGGGTTTTGACACGGTGCTTACCTACCCCTAATGTTTAATCCGATCTACTAAAGAGCCAGAGGCTTTATTTGCCCAGCATGATAATCTAGTACTTTCCAATTTAGTAGGATTTTTTTTTTTTAAAAAAAGGCTTAGCGTGTAATATGAACCTTGCCCATTGATTTATTTATGATTTTATTTGGCATAAGTCTAGTAAATGAGTAAATTCAGTAATCAGCCTTGGAGAGCTGTAAAATGGAGATAGAGAGTTGGTTTCCTCCTTTAAAACATGGTGATGTCATTGGATAGATGAGTTCCAGGGATTGTAGGGAGAAGTTTTGTACACCATGCTAATATTGGGTTGTTGGTTTTTTTGCTATAAAGAGAAGACTTTTTAAACTCCATTTCTTGGTAGTTTATCTCTGAAATTTGGCAAGGTGGTTTGAGAGAGTAGGGTGGGGATAATAAAAAGGGGGGATCTGAGAGCAATCTGTGGATCCCAGGGCTGAAAAATGGCCATAAAATATGCGAAGAAGCAAACCAGTATGCATGTGTATGTTTGTGTGTACCTTCAGATCAGTGCTGACTTCTGGCAGCTGTCTGACTAAGCCCTGCAGTTTTCTTGGGAAGGTTTTTCAAAAGTGATTTGCCATTGCCTACTTCCTAGGGTTGGGAATGTATGACTGGCCCAAGCTCACCTAGCTGGCTTTGTGCCGAAGGCAAAACTGAAATTCATGGTCTCCTGGTTTCTAGCCTTATGTACTAAATACTGCACCAAACTGACTCTCTATAACTAGCTGTGAGATTATGGGAAAAGTGTAAAAAGCAGCTTTCAGTGTTGGAAACGGCTCTCCAGAAGCGTTTTGCTAATAGCTTCCAAAGGGCAGCTTTTGCTCATACCAAAGAGAGACCTTTTCTGAGGCTAATTTCCTTGGGGGAGGTAATGATCCTATTCATCCAAGCATAAAGAGACAACTCTGCATGCCACAATCCTAAGCTCGGACACGCAGGTACATGTATACCTGTGCTTTAAAGTTCTTAAAATAGGCATATTTTAAATTGCTGTTTTAGGACTGCATACCCAAAACAAAGGATGCTTTCTTTTCTGGATTATGGTAAATTCACACTGGTTTTACTTGCCATGGGAACCCTACTACTATGGATGGTGTATTGAACTATTATGGTATGTATGTCATGGTTTATGGATGATTCTATGGCTTATTCAACAAGCTAAAGTTAGCTACAGTATGTAAACTCTGCCTAAATGAAGATTTCTGAGTTAAATGATATGGGAGTGAGGGGCAGAGGGAGACTACAAGGAAATGATCAAACAACTCATTCTGCATGAATGGTGTCAACATTTAGGTCAGTGTTTCTCATCTGTGGCAACCTGAGGATGTGCGGACTTCCACTCCCAAGATTCCCCAACCAGCCATGCTGCTTGGAAGTCCATCTTCAAGTTGCCAAGTTTAAAAATATTGATTTGCACTAAGCAGACATTATTTTCAACACAAGCTGTGGTGGCGCAGTGGCTAGAATGCAGCCCTGCAGGCTACTTCTGCTGACTGCCTGCTGACTGAAGTTTGGTAGTTCGATCCTGACCGGCTCAAGGTTGGCTCAGCCTTCCATCCTTCCGAGGTCGGTAAAATGAAGACCCAGATTGTTGGGGGCAATAGGTTGACTCTGTAAACCGCTTAGAGAGGGCTGTAAAGCAGTATGAAGCGGTATATAAGTGCTATTGCTATTATGGGACTGTCCAGAAGGCACATACTCTAACTCAGTGTTTCCCAAACTTGACAATTTTAAGGCATGTGGACTTCAACTCCCAGAATTCCACAGCCAGCGTTGCTGGCTGTGGAATTCTGGGAGTTGAAGTCCTCATGCCTTAAAATTGTCAAGTTTGGGAAACACTGCTCTAACTGATGTCTCCTAAGTGGGATTCCTGAAGAAAATAAGGAACAAGAAGCCTATACAGTTGGATGATGGTGATGATGATGATTGTGGTGGTGCTGGTGGTGATGGTGATGATGATAATGATTTCATGCCACAGCAAATTAGGAGATGTTAGCTGGAAAAATTCATTCCTCATTTTTGGTTTCTGCTCTGACCCTAACACTAACTCTCCATAGGAAAAAAAGGCTTCAAATCTCAAATCTCTTCTACTAGCTTCCTCATATAATTGACCTTTACTCCACAGCTGCTCTGAACTGCCTGCCTGGCACCCATTATGAGCCTTGTGTGCGGAACTGCCAGGGCACCTGTGCAGGAAATCTCGTGTGTGTGGATCCGTGCGTCGAAGGCTGCGTCTGCAACGTGGGAACATGGGCAAATGGAGCAGCCTGTGTGAACCCAGAACAGTGTGGATGCTGGTATGATGGGAGATTCATCCTGGTGAGAAGGCTTTTCTTTTAAAACAACGTGGACTACTCTCTTTTCCAGAAATGAACTACTGTCCTTAAATGGAGAGTTCCAGAGATATGGTGGAAATATTAAAATGTCAATCATGATGGGGTGATTGAAGCTTTGACTGTTTTTTTAAATGGGCAATAGATAATAAAATAACAGAATAACAGAGCTGAGTCCAACTCCCTGCTCAAGCAGGAGACCCTGTACCAGGGGTGTCAAAGCGCCAGCCTTTGGGCCGGATGCATCATAGCAAAACCGCGCCCGCCCCATTGCCAGCAATGGCAAAAAAGTCACAATATGTCACGACGTGTCATGTGACATTGCGAGTTTGACACCCCTGCCCTATACCATTTCAGACAAATGATTGCCCAGTCTCTTTTTGAAAGCCTCCAATAATGGAACACCCACAATTTCTGAAGGCAAGCCGTTCCACTGGTTAATTGGTCTCACTGTCAGGAAATTTCTCCTTAATTTCTCCTTAAGGTTGATTCTCTCCTTGATTAGTTTCCATCTATTGCTTCTTGTCCTGCCTTCAGGTGCTTTGGAGAATAGATTGACCCCCTCTTCTTTGTGGCAGCCCCTGAGATATTTGAAATGCACATGGAATATGTATTTTCAAAATGGATGGAGATTGGTTCACATCATGGTGACCTTATCTGGACACTTTTACCCATATCCTGTACCCAATCCTGGCCAGAAGTGTCTGGAAGGTATAGTTAAAAAAACAAAAAAGACCAAATAGTGGCCAGCATGGTATGATCAATATAAGACCCAGCTTTAACTTTTGTTAAACCGTTCCCTGAGTTAAATCATATAGCAATCTAAAGATTTCCATGTCTGGGTTAAGGAAGGAAACTGTCTGTCCATCTTGGTTAACTGATTGGCAGGTAACCCATTTTCTTCTCTCGCTACTAAGCATAATTGAGTTAATTCAGATTTGTTTGTTTGTTTGTTTGTTTGTTTATTCCTTCCTTCCTTCCTTCCTTCCTTCCTTCCTTCCTTCCTTCCTTCCTTCCTTCCTTCCTTCCTTCATTTATTTAGATGGGGGTTGGGGGAAGGACCAAGGGTTTTATTCCATTCTTAAGCTTTTTCAGCTCTGCGTTTCTCCACGCATGTAACCACCACAGCAGCCTCATTTTGGCTTGATTCCTCTCGTAACTCACCACCTGAATTTGCTATTTTAGGAAATGATACTACACTCTGCTGGTTATATTGCCCTTGGAGCAGTTTCATAGCAGAGCAATAAAAGAACTGAGCCACAAACAACTCTTATGAATGATGGTGGTGATCATGCTGTACAACAGCCAAAGTATATGGACTCCATAAATGGAATTCAGTCTTTTTGCTCTGATTTCAATCCTAAGCACATTTTTTATCCCTCATGTGCAGAATAAAAGCTACAAATGTGTGAATGGAGGCATGCATGCGCGCACGCGCGCGCGCACACACACATACACAGACAGACATTTTGCTTAAAATGTAATGGAAAATTCAGTTCCCTGGATAGGAATATTCAGCCCAAAACATTGGTGCTTTGCAGCCATCTGCATATCCAACCCTGATAGTTTTTCTGCACTGCCGTTATATCTTCATTTTTCTTTCTTCTTTTGGTCTCTTTCCAAATTGGCTGAACCCATAATTTTGAGTAATGCATGAAATAATAACGCTGCCCCAATTGCCTCGCTTTTATTAAATTACATATTGCAGATGGTGTTTGATGTTTGCAATTGTTTTCTGGTTGATGTCAACCATGTGATTTGGTAACATCTTGAACTTCACCCCCTCCATTTATTGCTGCTCATAATCTTATTATTCTTTTGGCGATGCTCTTTCTTGAATTTTAGAAAACAAAACTAAACCTTGCTTTTTAAATAATAATATTAATAATAATAAAAGCTCATAAAACAAAAGCTATGCAACCCGTGTGATAGAAGACTGCATATATTCTCCTCGCTGAAGAATACGAAGCTCCAATTTCTAAATCATGGGATGCTGTTTTCATGAGATGTCTTTTTCTCTTTCTCCAGCAAGGGGAGACATACATCATTACAGACTGTAAGATGCGCTGCACATGCCAGCGCCCTGGCCAGGTGGGCTGTCTCCTCCACAGCTGTGGCAATGGTGAAGCTTGCGGAGTGAGAGATGGGCTGCGTGGTTGCTTCCCCACTGAAGGCCGCTGCATAATGATACCAGGTCAACATTTCTCTTCCTTCGATGGCCTGTCTGGAGATGTAGTTGCTCCTGGAGCCTATCAGTTGGCCTCCCTTTGCAACACCCTCTCCGACGATTGGTTCCGCATCATACTTAAAGTCACGTTGTGTCTGCCTGCCCAAACGACCACGGCCACCTTGTACATCTTCTTCAAAAATGTATTCATTACGATGAATGACCAGAAAGAAGTTTGGGTAAGTGGAAACCAAACCAAGGAAGGCGCTCTCTTAATGACCTATTAAAAATTACCTGTTACAGGTAATCCTCAACTTATGACCACAGCTCAACCCAAAATTTATGTTGCTAAGAAGGACAAATGAGTTTTGCTCATTTTACGACTTTTCTTGTCACAGTTGTTAAGTGAATCACTGCAGTTGTTAAGTTGGTAACATGGTTGTTAAGTGAACCTGGCTTCCCCATTGACTTTGGTTGTCAGAAGGACGCAAAAGATGACCACGTGCTTCTAAGGCACTGCAGCCATCATAAATATGAGTCAGTTGCCAAGGGTCTGAATTTTGATCATGTGACCATGGGGATGCTACAACGGTCATAAGTAGGAGAAACAGTCCTAAGTTACTTTTATCAGTGCTGTTGTTGTAAGTCAAGGATTACCTGTACTTTAGCCCTTCATGGGAATTCCTGCAAGGGTAGTTGTGTAATCTAAGACATTGTCACAGGTTTACCTTATCTCAGAACACAACTGAGTTCTTTCTACTGTGCAATTCAAACCCACATTGCATTGTGGGGAAGGGGGAGGGGGTGGTTTGCTACTATAGAAATCATGGTAGCCTGGGGGTCAGGTAAGATGATGCTAATGTTTGTTTATGGGGTTCAGAAAATAGCACTAGCAATACCACTTAGACTTTTATATCACCCCATAGCACTTTACAGCCCTCTCTGGACCATTTACAGAGTCAGCCTCTTGCCCCCAACAATCTGGATCCTCATTTTACCGACCTCGGAAGGATGGAAGGCTGAGTCAACCTTGAGCCCCATCAGGATTGAACTCCTGGCTGTGCGCAGAGTTTGCCTGCAGTACTGCATTCTAACCACTGTGCCACCACAGTTCCTGGTGTATAGGGTAGCATAAGAGGATAGGAAGATGCAGCTAAATGCCTTGTTCTCCCTTTTGGCTGGACATATTGTAATGAGCAGTGGAGGGAGATTGTCGGGTGACTAGGCAATGGTTGGTGTGGAAAAAAAACTGGCTCTCTTTTGTCTCTGATCCCTTGGGTCTGGTTCTGCCCAACATTACTGCAGTCATTTGCAGGAGTCAAGGCCCTCTCCAGAGCACCCGTTTTGTGAGAATGCTGTAGCACACGGATGTCAAACTCTTCACGTGATGTGTCATGACGTATCATGACTTTTTTTTGCATTACTGGAGCTGGGCTGGGTGCGGCCTCCGTGTGATGCAACTGGCAGTTTGACACCCCCGGTGTAGCATGTGCTAAACATCCCAAATGTGCCCACTTAATTTTATTTATTAATTCAATTTCTATAGCTGCCAACTCAACTAAGTGAGTCTGGGTGACTTAATTTCCAAAGACTGACAAACTCAGATCTATGGCTCTTAACAATTAGGTCTCTGTTGTTTTTCACTGTTTTCTCTACTGGTACCTGGGTTTGAGAAGATCCTTAGCGCTACATACTGCAGTTGATAGAGAATTATAGCAATTATGATCCAAAACCAACTACAAGCTGCCAAGTAGCCTGCTCCTGTTCTGCAGATAAAATCACATCAAACTTGCATAGTTTCCATTCTTAAGTTAAGCCTTTGGAGGAGAATTTTGCACCACTAGATATTTTCCCTGCCTCTCCATCTAACTTTGCTGGTCTCTGCTTGTGTATTCCAGGTGAATGGGCTGCCGGTGAAAATCCCACTTCAGATCACAAACTCAGTGAAGTTTGACTTGACCGGTGACGTGATTGTCCTGCAGACACCGCAGGTTCAAATAACATTTGGACCAAATCACAGAGTAGCTGTGTCTGTCATCCCAGCTTTGGCAGGGAAGGTGTGTGGAGCATGTGGAAACTTCAACGACACACCTTTGGATGACTTGAAGGGGCCAGGCGGAGTGGATGTCAGCAACCTTCCAGAGCTCTTATTGTCTTGGACAGCCAGAGATTTTGCTTTACTGGTAAATGAGTTTTTGATTATTCCTCCCTGCGGATTCTTCCTGCCTTGTCTCCCAGGCTTTACTAATAAAGTTTACTAATAATAAGGCTTTACCTGAATTAAGGGGAGGCGCAATGGCTCAGTGGCTAAGGATGCTGAGCTAGTCAGCTGAAAAGCTGACAGCCCAGGTTTGAGACCCAAACGGCATGTGATGGGGTGAGTTCATGTCCTTGTCCCAGGTCCTGCCCACCTAGCAGTTGGAAAGCCTACAAATGTAAGTAGATCAATAAGTACCACTTTGGAAGGACGAACAGCATTCCATGAGCCTTGATCAGTGGTGGGATTCAGCTAGTTCGCACCAGTTTGCCACAACTAGTAGCTAAGTTTTTGTTGCCCAGGCCCAGAATGGACTTCCAGAAGTGGCATCCACACAAAGAACTGGTTGTTCACATATTTGAATATGGCCTCGGTATATAGTCATGCTGGCTTCGGTATATAGTCACGCTGGCTGCATGACCACAGAAGCATCTTTGGACAACGCTGGCTCCCTCAGCTAAGAAATGGAGATGAGTGCTGCTTCCTAGAGTCAGACATGACTGGATAAGGGACACCTTTACCTTTCCTTGAATTAAAACAACAAGCTGAGTGATCAACTTTCTAAAAGAACTTGAAACTGGAGAGCTGGGCTGAGAGAAGAACATTCATTAACATTTCAGTGGCTTCTTATGACCTTGAAATGCAGTGAAGGAGTCTGTGGTCATCCTTTTCCCACTTAACATGTTTATACCCTTCTCTGGCTCTTAGCTATTGCCTCCAATGGTTTCTCCAAAAAACGCTCTGGGAAACGATGCTTTGATCTAGCATCATTAGCTAGTGGTATTTGGAAGAGGAGAATGAGGGGCCGTTAATGTTTGACAGACAGAGCTAAAGCTTCTGCTGCCCTCGATGCAGGAAAAGGCGATGCTTGCATGTGGGAGCCATTTGTCACTCACCAGGACATTTCCCCTCTGAAATAGATAACAACGTTTTATTCTGTTGTAAATCATGAAACTGTAAATGTACCAGAGCGAATGGCTGGAAATACTGGAGTCTGACCTCCTGGACATATTTAACAGCGATCAGATTTATGCACATTCCCTTGCAGTGAAACAGCTTTGATGTGTACTTTAAGTCTCCCAGCTGCTCCATCCATTTCAGAGGAAGAATCAGGGTTCCTGAGGGTTCTCCTTCTGTTGACGTGAATAAAAAAAAAACAAAACCCTGCATGCAGTAAAATTCTGGGTGGCATAGGTGGGACTTTGCAGGGGGAAGATCAGTCCAGAAAGCAGGTGTCACAACTGAAAAGCATGTCTCCTGGTCCCATCAAATGGCATTGTGTCAGGGAAGGAACATGAAGCATGCCCAGTCTTTTGAAGAGTATGGGATGAGTATTTATCAATAGTAATATCTGCAAATAATCTAGTTCTGCACAATGTAGGGCTTTCTGGGTGGTAAACAGACTTTGAATTACCAATAAAGGAGAATATTTGTAGCTCAAGGTTGAACTGAGGCGTCCTTGATGCTCTCTAAGGAGGAAACCACACATCCTCAACACTGGCAGAGCAAGCTATTGTATGTAGAATAGAATAGAATAGAATAGAATAGAATAGAATAGAATAGAATAGAATAGAGCTGGAAGGGATCTTGGAGGTCTTCTAGTCCAGCCTCTACTCAAGCAGGAGAACTAGAGCAAACTACACATCACTTGCACTGATAATGTTATCTAGTAAGGTAATGAAATGTCTGTGCTTGGTTGCTTTCTTGAAGACATTTCATTACCCAAACTAATTAACATCATCAGTACTAGCAACAACCAAGCTCAGAGAGCAGTATGGACCCCATTGACCTTGAATTCCACCTGGAAACTATAGGAAGCCATTGTAGTTTGGAAATGAGTGGTGTTATCTGGGCATTCCTAAACATACCTTTACTACTTGTGCTAATGTATTTTGGATCATTTGTAATTTTTAAGAGGGCTTCAAGGACAGCCCATGGAGAATTTGTTACAGTAGTCCACTTGGAAGGTGACTAGAATATCCATGATAATGAAGAGGGCCTTGTGATCCAGAGCAAGACACATCCAACTCCTGACAGAGTTGTGCAAAGGCTCTCCTAGTGGCAGTTGTGTAGCTCAAGATTGAAATGTTGGGAACTCAATGTTTGTTATAGGTAGCCCTCAACTTACAACCATAATTGAGCCCCAAATTTTTTGTTGTTAAGCGAGACTCTTGTTGAAAACCCATATTATATATAGGAACAGCTCAAGATGAGACGGTGAAGTTAACCAAGCCAGGTACATTAATCAAAAAGAGCACCAAGATCTCAACAGTGAGGTTGGTTTGATGAGGGATTAGTACTCTTAAGTTTTCTTGGGTTGAGCAGTGTTGCTCTTTAAAAACTCCTGTCTGCTTTGTGTTCATGGGTGGATGCTAGTTCTCAAACTCCCTTCCTTCCTCTCAGATTTTATCTCTCTTTTACTCCTTAGTGTGCCTAGGGAGAAGAATGAGCAGGCTGATCTGATGATGCTAATCGAATAGTGGATTGAAATCAAGAAGAAAGTCTTCGGCAAGCCTCATCATCAAAGGAAGTTGACCTGGGAAACATAACTTTTCAGAGGTCTGAGTTTCCATAGGAATTGCTCAAATGAAGTTAAGCGATGCGGAATTTAAAATTCTGTAAAAGTAGATTCTCTTAATTAAAAAATTATTTGCTCTATGAGGACCCTTTGCCATAATAATTTAGTTTAGAGTGATCCTGTGGAAGGGAGCATGAAGAGGATAACAAGACACAGGGTTGTATTTTGTGGAGAAGGATGAAGAAGGCTCATCTGATCACCATAATAAAAAAAAGTGCAGAATAAGGGGGAACAGGGAAACTGGGGTGCTATTTTCAAGGCCAAATCTAACTACCTCACTGCCCATATAGATTTGGGTGCTTTTTCTGTTTGTGTACTTAATGATTGCCAATATACCTTTTCCATCTCCTGTAAAATCTTTTCTCAATCTATTTTCTTTCTCGCTATATCTCAGTCAGTTTGGCTGGTAGCCCAGAGATCATTGTTATAGGGTATTTTAATAAAGGATCTTGCTTCAAAACTTCATTGTTTGGATTACTATTTTTTCCCCATGGCAGTTAGATCTTAGTTTAACCTCCTCCTCTTGCTTCTAGCATGAAGCTTTCATTGCAATAAGGGAATCATTGTTTATTAAAGTGGGTTCTTCGAATGAAAGACAGGTGATGGATGTGAGGTTTGGATGAGAGAACATGCTTATGGAATTCTTCTGACTTATCTTCGGGGCTGAATCAATGAAACAGCTACAGCTTTTAGCAAAGTTCTAGGTGGATTTGTGTCTGTGTACCTGCATTTGGTTGCTTCTGTATACAAGAAAGATTTAAAACCCAAAGACATCACGTCCAATTAAAGTCTACCCTCTCCTATTTTCACTAGTCTATAAAGCCTGCTAAATTCTTCCTTCTAGGAATGGCTTATATATAAAACTGTATGAATACAGTGTAAATGTTTCTGTTAAAGCTGCAAAAGGTTCAATGTGAACAGCATAGAAAACTGCAAAATCTTTTTATCAAAATCTTTAATTGATTCTAACAGTTTCAACAGTGTTAGTTCAAAATGATTCAAAACATTCAACCTCCCTCACCAAAAAAAAGCTATATATCTAAACCTTATGTTGCAGTGAACAGCTACTATTTTATATTTAGAGCTACCACACCTAGACTGCAAGTATCTGAATAACCACTAGACAGCAGCAAAGAGGTGCAAATCTCTGGTGACACTTTGTGGTCAACGAACTTTTGCACCTCAAATATGGTAACCATACCAATTCAGCAGATATTGCATTTCAAATGTGTGTTTAGCAGGTAAACTAATGTTAAATATCAAAGTAGATTTTTATTTTAAAAAAGCAGATCCTAGCTAGAATCCAAATTAAGTACAATCTCCTCAACTGCTGAGACTTCAGCATTTGTGAATCAATGGCTACATTCACACATCAGCATAAGCTGTAGTGTTGCTTGTTTGATGTAGGCTTCGCCCAGTGTTAGAAACGAACCAGGCTTAGCATGGGTGATCTCAGCCAATAAGTATGTTTGTAGGATACATGAATCCAGTTGGTGGGAGGTAACTGTTGGCAATAGAACAAAAGATGCTGTATGTTGTGTTTACAAGACCATTTGCTCACTTGTGGTCTGGGACTCTAGAATAGGATTTCCCAACCTTGGAAAGTTTAAGACACAGGGATTACAATTCCTAGAATTCTACAGCTAGCCTTGCCAATTTTAAGACACGTGGACAATTCCCAGAATTCCCCAACCAGAGATGTTGGCTTAAAGTCACTAAGGATTGGGAAACCCTGTACTAGAAGATATTCCGGCTTGTAGGAAAAGGCGAATCTATCAAATTTGCTGAATTTCCCAGCATTCAGTATTCATATACATTTTTTTAAAAAATACATGAAAATTCACACAAAATTTGCACACATTGGGGAATCCCTTTCTCATCCTTTTCTCTTAATGCAACGCCTTTGTGGATTCTGTTCTCCAAATACTCTTCTGTGGATTTTTAATATGTATAATTTTACCATTTTAGTTGTAAACTCCACTGCCAAACATAGTCGAATGCAGATTTTCAGAGATGCAAATTGAATGAGTTCATATAAGAAAATAATTTTCTCTTCCATCCATCCATGATACAGTCCAGACTGCATTCCTGGGAATGTTGGTGTTATGAAAACTGATCTTCAATCAAGGCGCCATATAGGAGTGGATTTTGAAATGAGCTTCAAAAAAAAAAAAAAAAAAAAAAGAAGGAAAAAAGTGTTTGGTATTTTGAATTTCAAACAATGGTATGCACCCCCCTCAGAGCAATAAATGTGTGTGTAGCACTTCCATATGGAGCTTGAAAAGACTTCAACATTAAGAGGAGCAAACATTAAGTAGACCAACATGTTTCCTTAAACATGAAGGGTCAAGTGCCAGGCTATGGTACACTTAGATGTTTGCATCTGTAGTCACTGATGGGAACATGATATTCACTTTATAATTTAACAGAATAACAGAGTTCTAGTCCACCCCCCTGCTCAAGCAGGAAACCCTATACCATTTCAGATAAATGGCTGTCCAATCTCTTCTAGTGATGGAGCACCCACAACTCCTGGAGCCAAGTCATTCCATTGATTAATTGTTCTGTCAGGAAATTTCTCTTTAGTTCTAGGTTGCTTCTCTCCTTGATTAGTTTCCACTCATATTTGTCTAAATATGGAGTTAAATTAGAAAGTAAAACTAGAAAAATATTAACAAAAAGAAAGAAATAAGTTTCTATCTTTACATACCCTGTTGTATTCCTGTTCTGACTCTCCAGTAGTTGAGGACCTCAGTAATGGTATGAGCCTTCTTACCATGGGGAAGCCTCAGGTCATCTGCAGCATTACCATTGAAGTTCCCACAGGATCTGAACACTTTGTTGGCCAGGGTTGCGCTGATTGTCACTGTTAAGTCACCACCAGTACTATAGAGAACCCGTACACCTGATTCATGTGCCACTATCACCGTATCTTGGACTAAGGTTATTGATACCTCCTTGGAAGGCTGAGCTGGGAGATGAACAGGATGCCCATTCACCTAGAAAATGCAAATCCACAAATTGCCTGGAGACATTGTGTACTGAATTGTGGAAGATATGTGAGAAAAACAGAGGTGAATAAGAATACTAGAAAGTGGGCAATTTTCTTCTAGAAAACCGGTATTTATCACAGTCAGAGAATGGAGTTTTGGCTAAATTTGCAGTTCCCTTAGCATCACTACATGGTAGTGCTCAGTCTCTTCATTTCTGTAACATTTCTCTTTTAAAACTTCATACCCTACTACCGAGAATCACATTTCCTCTTTCCATTTTCTGCCATTTTACATTATGCAATCAAAAGGTGCTACCAAAAACTTTCCAGAAAAGTTTTTGTTGTACAGAAAAATCTGGTTACTGAATTAATCCATTTTCTAAGTTTGCTTAATATATGAAATCATACATTAACCAAATAATCTGGTTTCATTCAAAAGTCTAGGCCATAACAAGCTAACGTTTACTCTAACTGAGCTTAATAATGGTGTTCGTACCAGTTAAGCCTGCTGGGCAGCCTAAAAGTCGACACATACTGGTTAACATCACGTCCAAATTAACTTCTAGACTGTTAGTTTTAGAAGAAAGAGGTGGACAGGTAGAATGTCACGGTGCTCCTTATGGATCCTTTTGATATAAAACTAAGGGTACAGAGCCTTCAGAGGAGAGGAATTAGTAAGGGCCTTGCATGAGATCCCATAAATCAAATGGATCAGTTGGGTGGTAATGTACAGTTGGACGCCCGCTCACCCTGAATTTCAAGAGTTAGTTACAAATCTAGAAACTTTGGCATTTTTCTTGAAGTCTGTGTCTCTGTCCTTGAGCTTTTCTACATATTAATTTACTTCTCTCTCTTCTTGATTCTGCTTCACATTCTTCCAGAATTTTCTTCCTAAGTCTCACCAATTTCAGCCCCCTAGTTTATCAATCTGCACCTAATTCTTCCACCCTGAATTGCCATACCAACTCATAGATATTTGATCTCTGATGTATACATTAAATTTTGCAGCTACTAGGATTGTTGGATGAGTGGGTACAAAACCAGCCAGGGAAATGATTGAAGCCTGGGAATCAGGCCCTTTGTCAGTCAACAGGAGTGCTGATTTAGCACCAGCTTATCAAGTGCTTAGGAGGCTTGGCAGCACAAGGAAACAACAGCCAACAACTTAATGGCCAGCCATCAATACCCCAATCAACCATTAAAAAGCCACACACAACAGGCAACATATAAATACTACACACAGAACAGCCCAAAGCACACACCCTGCTAGAAAGAAGCTCCCTGAGGATGGGCTCCAGTACAAGTCCGAAAGCTCAGAAGACTAAAACTCTGATCCCAGTAACTGACCCAGATTGGACCCTGCAATATTATCCTGTGACACGTATATTCGCCTTCCTTCATTTGATCTCTGTGTTACATCCTAGTCTCCTAAGAGTACATAGACTCTAACTTCATTGCAGACGGATCTCAGTTGCTACTGGTACCTTTCATTATAAAATTTACACCTCATTGATTTGTTCATTAGTTGTGGCAGTCTAGATCAGACAGAGACAACTAGGTGAAAAGGAAAGGGAGAAGGAAAGGCAATTAGGTGATTACAAATCCTGTACATTTTGTATGTAGAAGGAGAAGAAAGAAGAAAGAAAGAGATAAAGTACTACAAGTAGAGTAGGTGAATAAAACATGAGAGCTATCATCTGCCAGGAGTTGCTTCTTACCGAAACTGAGCTATCCTTATTCACCAGCACAATCAGCTTGTGGAAATAGACAGTGACAGAGACCACACTGGGTGTTGCACACTGGGGACATTTCTTCACCTGCACCACCACCCGGAACCAAGATTTTGACTTAGCATTGACAAGGGCTGTGATCTCAAAGGACCCCTCGCTTGGAAGCTTTCCAGATACTCCATCAAAAGAGGTGAAGATGTGTTCATGGGCAATGGTGCAGTGTCCCTCCTTCCCGACACAGTCCCATTTGTTATTATTCAGTACACAAGTTTTTCCAGCTGCACATGGGAATGGAGTGCATGTCAGTTGACCTTGACGTTCACAAGTACATCTCTCCATGCAATTGGCTGTGATCGTTGGCGTTCCAGGCTGCAATAAAAATATGGCAGGTTTAGGGGTGACAGCTAAAAAAATGGCCAGCATCCGTGGCAGGATGTACTTATCCCTTACATTAATAAGATAATAGTCACAATTATTGTGGGTTAATGGCATATTTGCAAAACCTTCTTATCTGATATCTAATTATCAACCTTCCAATACTTCTGTTGAAATTGATAGATGGATTCCTTAATTTCTATTAATTTGGATTGTCCCTCTTTTCCCACTGTCTCTCTGGCATCATCGTTATTCCCATTTTTATTTTCATTCTTCTTTTCATTCAGAACAGAATACAGAATAACAGAGTTGGAAGGGACCTTGGAGATCTTCTAGTCCAGCTCCCTGCCCAAGCAGAAGGCCCTTTACTATTTTAGGCAAGTGGTTATCCAACCTCTTCTCAAAATCCTCAAGTGATGGAGCACCCACAAATTCTGAAGGCAAGTCATTCCACTGGTTAATTTTTCTGCCAGGAAATTTCTCCTTAGTTCCTGGTGGCTTCTCTCCTTGATTGGTTTCCATCTATTGCTTCTTGTTTGTCTTCCGGTGCTTTGGGAAACAGGTTGACCCCCTCTTGTTTGTGACAACCTCTCAAGTATTGGAACATTGCTACCATATCATTCCTAGTGCTTCTTTTCACTAGACTAGACACACCCAATTCATGCAACCATTCTTCATATCTTTTAGTCTTCAGCCCCCTAATAATCTTCCTTGCTCTTCTCTGCACTCTTTCCAGAGTCTGAACATCTTTTTAATATTGTGGTGACCAAACCTAGATCAGTATTCCAAGTGTGATCTTACCAAGGTATTATAAAGCAATCCTAACACTTCACGTGATCTTGAGTCTATCCCTCTGTTAATGCAGCCTAGGATTGCATTGGCTTTTTTGGCGGCTGCAGCACATGCTGGCTCATATTTAAGTGATTTGTCCACTAGGACTCCAAGATCCCTCTCACAGTTACTATTATTGAGCCAAGTTTCATTCCACCTAATCCTTTAATATTGTACTTTTTTGGGATGAAGCAGTGAGAATGCCAGCATATTTCTGTTTGCTGGCAACACCAGTTCATCCATAAGGTCCCTTTTGTACAGCTATAGTTCTTCTACTTTGGAGAACCAACAGTGTGCTATTATGCAGATGCTATTCCACTTCCTAAATCTTCAGCCCTGCAGAAGCAGTCAACATGCATCATTGAAACAGAAAAGGCAGAAAGCCAAAATTAAGTAGTGACTAGATGTCTCCTGCTCTATCCTTTTATTGAGTCAATCAGTTGTTTCCTTTCAGCTCAGCCTACTCCATGGGTTGTTATGAGAAAAACTGGAGGAAGACAGAAGGTTATGTCTATAGGAAGTCCTCGACTTACAACCATAGTTTAGAACTGGGTCATAAGGATCTCTAGGCAGGTCCGTTGTAACTTTCAAATGGTCGTTAAGCAACCGGTTGTAATGTGAGAACTACCTGAACTACCTTTGCTCTCTGAAGAAGAAAAGCTGGATAGAAAAATCTCCTAAATAAAAAACACAAAACTTTGCAATCATAAGAATTTCTGCTCTCACTTGCCTTAAGCCACATGCCTTTATGGAAGCAGCGACATTGACTGATGGGGGCACAGTGATACCCTGCCATAAAGAAGCCCTTTTTACACTGGCAGCCTTCAGCACAGTGGTTGGGGCACTTCGTGATGCCAGTTGCCTCTTTGCATCTGCTGGGACAAGCCCGGGTGCAGAGTTCATACTGACTGTTGACTGGGCACTTCATAGCTGGAAGAAACAAAGAAGACTAGGTTATCCAGAAAAGAGAAGGTAGGCAGGTTCTCATAACAATATGAGAAGGTAGGTAGGTTCTCATAACAATATGAGAAGTTGTATGTTAGAACAAAGATTGCTCAAGAATTGTGTATTGACTAGTTCGATAGCCAAAATGAAGCCTCTTCTGACACTGCTTGGGCTTGAACTAATAATCTCTTGCAGGCAAAGCATATACTTTCTCCCACTTGAGCTACAGCTCTTCTTCAAATAATGTGCAACGGATTTCCTCCTGCAAGGAGAAAATGTTACTGCCAGAGAGAGTTCTCTTCTTGAGGATGTGAGAATGAGGTCAACTAATGTGCTTAGATCAGGGCTTCTCAAATGGGTGATTATAAAATACTCTTCAATACCATCAAATGACATCTGCCTATCTCAGGTCCTTGGGAAGAACTTGATAGCTGGATGGAAATGCCAAATCCAGTCTAAACATCTGGCTGACTGTGAAACCAACAATAACAGTAACAATAGAGGGAGAACAGATGGGTAATAGGAGGGGAGGGAAATTTGTACACCTGAAGCTAAATTGCTATCAAAGAAACTTCTTCCAACTCAGAGAGAGACAGACAACTGATGTGCCCAGTGTGGCTATGGCTATTTTATGTCCTGCACCTCCCATTCTCCCTACTCTGCCTTAGGAGATGCTCTTCATAGAAACTGCCTCCCTAGAAGCACTTACGACAGAGGTTTGCTGTCCTCCAGGGTTTGATCTGGACACCAGCTGCTTGACAAGCAGCAACATAGCTATGGATAGCTCGGCAGAGAATAACTGGGTTCCCCCTTGCCTTGCAGAGGTCATATACACAATTGTTGTAGAAGTCCATAGGGTTGATGGTGGAATAGCAAGCACTGAAAGGTCCATAGGGGGACTGCAAAATGCCACATTGGGTGCTGTGTATGTAGCTGGCCTTCCGACTCTCTTGACATGCACCACACAGAATGGAGGCACAATCTTCGGTACAAGCGGCAGAAGGAGCAGCTACTTTCCATGCAGCTGAAAAGGTTTGCACGCTTAGGGCTGGCTGTCCAGTGGGCAGAGAGATGTCATCAAGGGGATGCCCATTGTAATTGCCACATAAACCACACATCTGGCTCTGATAAGCCTCAGGCACCTGGACAATCAGGTGGTAGAGTTGGTCAAAAGAGACAAACAAGCCAAAGTCCGTCCGAAGCACAATATTGTCACCATGATAGAAGACCCACATACTATCACTTTCAAGGCGGAAAGGTAAGTAGGTCATGGCACCATTCACCTGTGGTGGCAGTAAGGGGATGAGAGTGAAACAAGAAGACAATTGAAGAAGACTAGTTACCTCTGATTTGTCTAAAAAAAATGTCATCTTTGTCTATTTATTTATTAAACAAATTTATATAGCCACCCAACTCACACATAAGCAACTCTGGGAAGGTGCACTATTTAAAAACCTACCACATAAAAACCCATACCTCCCCCCATCCGCCCACACACAACCACACACATGACAGCAGCAGCACAATTAAATCAACCACTTGATTGGCTTCATCTCCATTTGGGGTTCACAGGCCCATTGACAAAAAAATGTTTTTAGGGCCTTTTAGAAAAGCAAAAGAATGGGGACCAACCATACTTTGGGGGAGAATGATGTTCCATAGAGAATGGGCCACCACTGAGAAGGGTCTTTCTCATGGTCCCACCAGATGTAACAATAGCACTTAGACTTATATACAGCTTCATACTCTCTAAGTGGTTTATAGAGTCACATACTGCCCCCAACAATCTGACATATTCTACTTTCCCTCTAGACTTTTAACAGCTGATATAACTAGAATCATTCACCACCCACACTCATATGGCCATCTCAACATGTACACCTTCAGTATTTGCATTGCCTTGTGGCTGATGCAACCATTTACTTCTTTAACTTATCTGCTATTGAAACTCACAACAAAAAGCATTTCACCCATCGCTACTCATAATATTTCCATTTGTATCTCCTTACCAGGATAATGCCTCTCCTTTCTCGCAAGAGAGAAATGGTGTTTTGGTAGGCTGTGATAGATACAACTTTTGTTACGGAGATTTTGCCCTTGGATCGCCTTTCATTCTGTATATTGACGGAGAAAGATGGAAGGGAATGCTGACGTGTACAGCTCCTTGCCAGCGTATAAGTGCAGTTGCTCTGAAGGTCAAAGGTGGTGCCATCAAAGGTGATGTAGTGGGGGTCTCCAGCTACATGACAGGTCCCACTCTTCTTGGGAGCATCTGAATGGCACTTCTGGATACCTTCCACCACACGACACTCCTCATGAGGTCCACAGGAGGAACGGTGGCACTCCATGATACCACCGATGTGGCAAGTGCATTGCTCCTTGCAAAATCCATTGACAAAGAAAGACTCACCCGCCTTGTAGTAGAGACGTTGGTGGACACAGCCACATTCTGAGATGGGGACACACTGGTCTCCGCTCAGAACAAAGCCTTGGTTGCATTCACATCCCTCTCGACAATTAGCAGTGCAGAGGACTGGATTAAAGAGGCTGTGACAGGTCACAGGGCAGTGGCTGGCACAGACTTTATAATGACTATTTGGGGGGCAGTAAGATTCTGGGGAATACAAGAAGACATTGATGTATTTTGCAGAAGGCAGTACTGTTATATCACATTTTCTTAAATTTCCCTTTGAATCTTGACTGGAAACTATTGCTACCCCTCCCCCCCAAGATTTGGCTTCACAACTGAAATAAGTTGCGAATGATATGATTGATGGTGAAAGATTGAAGATTTGAAATTTACATCATCAAAAGAGTCCCAGATAGTTTATCATTGCTTTATGTTCAGTTTTCTTAAACTCTTATTCATTTTATCATCAAAGAAAGAAGATATATTAGTTTCTGACTTCTTAGATCACTGTTTTTCAACCTTGACAACTTTAAGATGTGTGGACTTCAACTCCCAGAATTCCTCAGCCAGAAATGCTGGCTGGGGAATTCTGGGACTTGAAGTCCAAATATCTTAGAGTTACAAAACATTATCTTAAGACATCGTTTCAATGCACTGCTCCAGGTACCCTCTAGATGTGACGATGTCCTTTTAATATCTGAATTAGGAATGCTAAAATCAAGGAGACCTGATGGTATCATGTTAAACCAGACTGTTTTTAGATGGGTAACCAGGAAGACCAAGATAGTATTTCCGAGTCTGAAGATAGGAACACAAAGATATGAAGGTAGATCTGCTTATTAGAACAAAAGTTGATCCAAGGATTGCCCATCCAGATATTATTAAATTACTATTGCTCCAAACCTTTGCCATTGGACATGAAAGCTAGTGTTTCTGGGAACTGTAGTTAGAAGAACATCTGGATGACTGTATGTTCCCTACTTGATCTAGTTCAGTGATGGCGAACCTTTTAGAGACTGAGTGCCCAAACTGGAACCCAAAACCCACTTATGCATCGCTGAGTGCCGGGTGGGTGTGGCCCATTGGGTGGGCGTGGCCCATTGGGTGGGTGTGGCCCATTGGGTGGGTGTGGCCCATTGGGTGGGCGTGTCCCATTGGGTGGGCATGGCTGCAGTGGTAATGGCAGACTAGGTGGGACTAAAAAGTTCAATCAATCAATTCCAATTTTGCAAGATCTTTTTTTTTCCCATGGGAAATTGAAATTGACTGATTGATCCTTTTTTTTTGCACACGGCAGCGGAGGCCTAAAGCGAAAAGATTTTATAAAGCCCAGCTGAAAGAGACTGGGGCGACGGCGTGCGTGCCCACAGAGAGGGCTCTGCGTGCCACCTCTGGCACCCGTGCCATAGGTTCGCCATCACTGATCTAGTTTAACATTCTGTTTTTCACAATGATTAAGCACAGCATTTTTTGGCTGACCCAGCTTCTAGTCTGGGTGAGCAAGAATGTTATCTCCCTAGTCACTTTCTCATTAAAATGAATAATTCATATCTTTTTCACTCAGAAAAAAGTGACTTGCTTGTTGCTTTGCTCATCATTCTTGGTAGGAAATTTCTACAAGCTTCTTATCCATAAATAGTCTGCTATGGATGTGAATATAATTCGTTCATCACAAATTTCAGTAGGAACTGACCTAATTCATATTTCTGATCTGTTTCCATAAGACTGAAGCATATATCCTTTCCTTACCTCATGTGATGCTGTTCTCCAGTACATAAAATTATGGACATTAAGGGAATGTATAAAACTAATCAGATCTCTGCATAGAGTGGTTTTGACCCAAAACTATACATTTGCCAAATTTGTATAAAACTGTTTTGCTTGCATAAAAACATTTGTCAACGTTATGGAAATGGGTGGATATAAAATTTGCACAGACAAACTGTGAACACGATAGAAGCAATCCCTAACTTGCAACCCTTCATTTAGTGATCATTCAAAATTACAATAGTCTTGAAAAAAGTGACCTACAATCAGCCCTCTCACTTATGACCATTGCAGCACCCCCATAATCAAAATTGTTGTATTTACAACAATTGCAGGGTCCCAGGGTCACGGGATCACCATTTGCGACCTCCCCAGCCTACCGGGTTTCCCCCAAAATAAGACCCAACCAGAAAATAAGCATGATTTTTCAGGATGCTTGTAATATAAGCCCCACCCCCAAAATAAGCCCCAGTTAACATCGTCAGTCAGACAGATGCATTTTGTACTATATTTCCCTGAACATAAGCCCTAACCAGAAAATAAGCCCTATTGCGTCTTTTGGAGCAAAAATTAATATAAGACCTGGTCTTATTTTGGGGGAAACACGGTATTTCCAACAAGCAAAGTCAATGGGGGAAGTTGGATTAATGACCATGTAATTCACAACATTGCAGTGATGCACTTAATAACTATGGCAAAAAGGTTGTAAAATCAGGCATGACTCAGATAAAACCTGCCTTGCTCAGCAATGGAAGTTCTGGCCCCAACTCTGGTAGTAAGTTGAGAACTTCCCATAGAAAATAATATATGTTTGCCCATCCTTACTTACTGCAAAAGCGGACGGACCTCCACTCAGAAATCTCGATCCCTAATGTTTGGCAAGCTGCAGCGTAGGAGGAGATAATTTGACAGATGACATTCTTGTTGCCCTTATTGGAACAGAAATCAAAGACACAGTTTTGGAAGTATGAGTGAGGTGGCACCTTGCTGTGGCAGCTCTTGAATGGGCCATGTACATCTAGTAGGAGACCACACTCCTTACTCATTCTCTGCGTGTACTCCAAATGCACCATGTCCACACAGGTCTCCCTTTCCTTCTCATGGCATCCTGGGATATCCCGGATCTTCCAGCTTCTGCCCAGCTCTCCGGGATCTGTTGTTGGCATTCCACTTTGTTGCATCATGTCATCTTCTACTTTCCCATTGAAATTGCCACAGAGACCGCACATTCTTCCCCTGTAGCTTCCTGGCACTGAGACACGAATATTATTCTTCATATCAAAGGTGACCATTAAACCAAAATCGGTCATGATCTCAATGTCCCATCCCAGGTGGTAGAGGGAAATTTTGTTATAGTCAACATTGTAAGGGAGGTTGATCATTAAGCCGTTCAGCTGAAAAGCAAGGGGGGGGGGGGAGAGAGAGAGAGAGAACATTTCACAATATATATTAAACAAACCTTTTAGGGTGAATCCAGATGGAAGAAGCACTCAGGTCTCAATCTTGGAAAAGCATAAAGATACCCATCTTGAAAATACATTAGGCCTTTTCAGAGGTTTCTTTCAACCTACACTTTAAAGGGGCTATTTCCTCTTTTGCCTGATACCTCATTTTTTTCTGGCATTCTCCATTCACGCAATTTCCCACCAGTAAATACAGAGATGATTAGAGCTCAGCCAGATGTGTTTTCTTCCTTAGAGGAAGACCAAGCTGATATACCCAATTTTGAGGGGTCTTCGGTGCTCTCTGAGCTTCGTTGTTTTCTTGCAGACATTTCATTACCCAAACTCGGTAACATCATCGAGGCTAGCAAGGAGTGAGGTTTGCTCTCAGTTTACATTCTCCTGGCTTGCCCTTCACTGTTGGTGGTGGGGGGGTGGTGGCCTTGGGGGTTCTTTGGTTGGGCTTGTTTGGTAGTTACCTAGTTTGAGTCATGAAACCTCTGCAAGGAAACAACCAAGTTCAGAGAGCACCAAGGACCCCTTATTTCAACCCTGAGCTATTCTCTTTCATTGATACCCAATTTTGCAGATGTACCAGAACCAAGCCCCAGTACTTGCACTTATTCCTGAATACTCTGATCAGGAGACAAGACTACCCACAGCATTGAAAATATAGGTTGGAAAAAAAAACTGGAGAAGCAGAAGGTGAAAGAATGAACATGGGCAGGGGAAACTTAAAAGCTCTGTGTAATCAAATTCTAGCAAAGTCAAAGCTTCTTAGCTTCATCTCTGCTTGGCTGGGGAGTGCAGAAGGCTTGAGTATTAAAAATTCACTCAGAAAGCAGGTTTCTAACTAGAATAACTTTGGGGTCAGTTTTACTTTGAAGCTGCATATATTTATATCTGCCAGGGTGAATTCCTTGATCCGTTAACTAGGACTCAGAGAACAGGATTAGCACCAGATAAACAGGAACAATCCAGAAAGAAAGAAAATATTCCAAGAGCGATGAAAGAAGCAAGACTAAAAGAACAAGTTAGTACAGTATATATAAACAGCCAGGAAATGGCATTCCACCATGGACTAATGCTGCTACTTAGCCTGGCAATGAAACATCTGCAGCAAGAGTAGCAAACTCTCAAGCATGTAAGAACGCAACAGTTCATCCTTGTGCTATTCTCTGCTTATTGCAATTAATCTGTTTTTTTTTTTACTCTATGCTATGGTTTCATCTCTTGAACCTTGACTCAAAATGTGGATTGCTAGAATTTGGCCCAGCCCCTTGCAGCTCTGCTAAAAAGCTTATTTATAGCTCTGTGAACAAGTATGATAGAAAGTGGACTGTTACTGAATACTTTCCTAGAGCCCCGTGGAGAAAGACATGTGACAGTAAAATGGAACACTTTAAAGTTAATAATAGGTCATAAAGGGGCCATAATTGCCCACCTTTGCTCAAGAACCACATAGAACTTCAGAAGGGGGTTCCACTTCGATGACGGAGCAAAATAAGTGCCTGAAGCTGCTTCATAACTTAACAGGGTTGGGTGATTTCCCAAGAGCTGAAGACTTTTTTACTTTTCCTGCCTCAGTAACAGCTGCACAGTTGTGTAGTACAGGGGCCACCAATTCCTGGTCCATGGACCGGTACCGGGCTGCAGCATGCCAGCAACCGGTCTGCACAAATAAGCAAAACCACCCCCCCTCCGGTCCATGGAAAAATCTCTCTCCACAGAACTGGTCCCTGGTGCCCCGAAGGTTGGGGACCTCTGGTATAGTAGAAAGGTTTCTGGGTATGCCTAGTACCTTTACGAACCTCTCTTCTGGATTTTGCAACTGCTAGAGGAGACTAAGAGGGGAGTGCAAAATGATGAGAAGCAGCTCATTGAGTTAAATCATGTTGCCTCTTCACCCTGATAAGGCCACTCAAGTTGCTTTTACAGCATAAAGTGCCTCATTGAAATAAATCAAAACCTTCTTGCACGAGCCAATTATCTTAAATATGCCTGAGTGAACAAGCATGCCTTCAATTATTGTTTAAAACAAGATTGCACGGGGCCAGCTGTTCTTTTCTTGGGAAAGAGTTCCTTAATTGGAGGCAGGGGCTCCCTCAATTTCCCTTTTTAATTTGAGCAGTGGGGGCAGGCATTTGTTATCTCTACTGCTGCAAAATTTGCATGGTAGATTTTTCCTTAGAACAGGAACAGGACACCCCAGCTGCTGATACACTATAACTCCCAACATCCCTGGGAATTACAGCTAAAAATGAGGAATGTTGGAAGGGGTAGTTTAAGTAACATCTGGAGAATAGCAGGTTATTTCCCTTTGCCTAAAAGAGTGATATGCAAATGAAAGAGGTTTATAATTTCTGATCAATAATTAACAATTTCCCAATCATCCTGTTTTGATTGCTCGTTCTCTTCTGAGAGGATAATAAACCCTCTAGAACAGTGTTTCTCAACCTTTTAAATGCCGCAACCCCCAACCGGTCATAAGTTGAGGACTACTCAACTGGTCGTAAGTCGAGGACTACTCAATTGGTGCAGCACCATTTGCAGAATGGGACTTTTGGCGGGCTCAGCAGGGCAGAGACAGCCTGGACTATTCCTATTGGCTTTTGAAAGCCAATAGAATTAGACTCTATTCAAGAGAGTCTATTCTATTGGCTTTCAAAAGCCAATAGAATAAAAGGGAGTAGCACAGCTAAGGAAAAGGGGGAAAAAATGGCAGACTGCATTGTTTGGCGACCTCCGTGAAATGGTCGTTCGGCCCCAAATGGGGTCCCGACCCACAGGTTGAGAACCACTGCTCTAGAAATCAAGGTGATATATCCACTCAAAGAATCACACAAGTATAAATAGGAGATGGGTAGAAGATGCTAGGTGGCCCTTGATTTATAACCATTGGCCTGGTGGACCATTTGAAGTTGCAATGACATTCAGAAATGACTTATGGCACTTTTTCACACTTACAACTGTTACATCATCCCCATGGTCAAGTGATCAAAGTTCAAATGCTTGGTAACTGGCTCATATTTATGATGGTTGCAGTGTGCTGGAGTCATGTGGTCACTTTTGGGAACCTTCTGACAAACAAAGTCAATGGAGAAGTCAGCTGCACTTAACAACCATGTTACAGGTAGTCCTCGACTTTTAACAGTTCATTTAGTGATCATTCAAAGTGACAACAGCAATGAAGAAAGTGACTTATGACTGTTTTTCACACTTACGACATTTGGGACTCATCCCTGTGGTCACGTTATCAAAATTCAGACGCTTGGCACATGACTCATATTTATGACAGTTACAGTGTCCCGGGGGTCATGTGATCCCCTTTTGAAACCCTCTGACAAGCAAACTCTTCAATGGGGAAACCAGGTTCATTTAACAACCGTGTTGCTGACTTAACTGCAGTGATTCACTTAACAACTGTGGCAAGAAAGGTTGTAAAATGGAGAAAAACCTACTTAACAAGTGTTTCACTTAGCAACATAAATTTGGGGCTCAACATTTCATAAGTCGAGATCTACCTGTACTAACTTACCTGCAGGGACTCACTTAAACAACTGTGTCAAGAAAGGTCATAAAACGTGACAAAACTGCCTTGCTCAATTGTGGTCGTACGTTGATTAACTACCTGTACTGTACTCACCAAGACTTTGCTATGGCTGATAAGGATTGCCATCCCGTAAACGTGGACCTCAAGTACTTTGGTAGCAGCTGGAGTCTCAGATCCCTGTCCTTGGTGCTGAACCAGGATTTGGAATTGAGTGAGGTTTGCTATCTTGTAGCAGAGCTCAGCCAAACGATAAATGCAAGTTCCATGGAAGTCAAACTGCAGTCCATCAAAGGTGATATAATGCAGCTGTCCCAGGGTAGTGCATGTCCCATAGAAAGTTGGATGACACTTTATTACACCATTAATCACATGGCACCCTTCTCCTTCCCTGCAAGCGGAGCCGTGGCAGACCACTTTCCTGTCTCGTGGGTTGCATGTACACTGCTGATGACACTGCTGATCAGCCCAGAACTGCTCATTGGGAGCATAGATCTGGCCGTGATAGATGCAGCCACATTGCTCTTTGGGAATGCATTTGCCACCATCAAGCACATAACCTGGCTTGCACTGACAGATCTCCATGCAGGGCAGGTGGCATTTCTTTGGCGCATCAAGGTTGCTACAAGTGGCAGGACAAGCTGTGCCACAGGCCATGTGCTGGCTGTGGTCAGGACAGATCAAGGCTGTAGAAGGAAGAACAAACATAGTTAGCTATAGATGTTCTTGTACAAGATCTCATCTTTGCTATATAATAAAATGCAATGAAACTGATAAGATTCTGAGTTTGTGGAGTGCCTCGGGAATTGATGTTTCACCCTCTTGTTTAATATTCAGGTTAAGGTCATCCATCAACATGGGATCAGATATTATTGGTATGCTGGTGATACTTAGCTATATATTTAGGCCCCTGGTTGATTAAGTAATGCTATTGAAGCTTTGGTCCCATGTCTGAAGCTGTTAGCATCTGGGTGGGGAGCAACAGGCTTTAAAATGGGTGTCCCATTTTGGCAATTTTAAAGCCTCTGGAATTCTGGGAGTTGAAGTCCACAGGTTTTAAAGTTGCCAAAGTTGGACATCCCTGCTTTAAAGTCAAGCCTGACCACACTGAATTAAGGGCATAGTTCTTCCATTGGTTTTGAGTGGTGTGGCACTTCCTCAAATGAAACTGCAATTTAGGGTCCTTATGGACTCACAGCTCCTGTTCTAGGAGCAAGTGGCAGCTGTGGCCAGCAAAGCTTTTACAAAATTTATCGGTTGCCCCAAATGCATCCTTTCTAAACCAGAAATTCCTTTTCTCAGTCACTCACCTTGTATGAGTGCTCTCCTCTACATGGAGCTACTCTTGAACATTCAGAAATTACATTTGGTGCAGAATACAGTGGCTGTAATGCAGGTAAGGCAATTGTGGAGTACCATGCCTCTATTTGTTTATGAACACTTAACTGAGCAACCAAAGAAAGGGCTTTTTATTGGCCAAGTCACCCATTCTTATATAGATTGGCTGGTTCTCTGGCTCTCTTTTCATTGTCCCTCTTCTCCATCCATCTTAATATAATCAATGTTCTTATTTTCTGATTATTTTCAGCAGCTCATCAACTCACCTCTTCTGAGACTGTTTCCTTTTAAATGTAATGTTATAGTCAATCTCTATCCCGTTTACCTGCAACATCTGTCTGGCTATACATATATGCAACACTGATTTATCACACCCATTACATTTTGGAATGACAGTCCCCTTCTACGACTGCCTGTCACTGTAAACTAGTGGGAGTCCTATCTTCATAAATCGCAGGCTTTACTCACGGCAGCCAGCATGCTTCCTCCAGGCAGATATTGCCATCCTTTCTCTCTGACAAGCATCAGCATAAGTCTTCAGGGCTCGACACAAAATCTGCTTGTAGCCCTCAAAGGCACATAAATCAATTACGCAGTCATTCAAATATGGCTTGGGATCAATCAAGGAATGGCAGCGATGGAAAGGACCACTCCTGTGTTGAACAATCATGCCACATGAACTTTCTGTATTGTATCTGGCTGCTAACTCTTCAGAACACTGCAGGCATCTGTCATGGCAGCCGTGTCTGCAAGCCAGATCTCCATCTTCTACTTTCCAGCTCTTGCCCAATTCCACAGCGTTGGCGGCCAAGCTTCCCGAAGGGGTAGCAAAGTCATCATTGGGATCTCCATTATAGTTGCCACAAAGGCCACAAATCTGACTCTGAAAAGCTGCAGTGACCTTCACTACTAGGTAATAGTTCCAGTCATAGTAAGCCTTCAGGCCAAACTGTGTTTCGATAACTAGTTGGCTTCCTCGATGGTATATGGAGATCATCCCATTGTATAAACTTACAGGCAGACGAGAGCGTACCTGGTTGATCTAGAAGAGACAGAGCCCAGTGATTATCTTTTGTTTTTAAGATTACATATTTGACAGATGAATTGGATTGCAACAAAACACCCAAGCAGCTAGTGCATTACGATTTCATTTTCAGAAGCATTAAAAAAAGATAATGGATTGGATTGTATTAATAGAAATTTTAAAATGGAAGAGAAGATGGGCATTTTGAGAGTTAAATCTCAAAATGGTCCTTCTTGCCTAACTTCTTGTTCCCATAGAGAACCACTAGATGCCTATAGGCATCCCAGAAAAAAACATCTTCAGTAATATGCTGACCCAATTTTTTTATCAGTAAGGTAGGTTTATCATCATACTCCTTCCAGTCCTATGAAAGCAGATACTTACATAGGTAGTAAAGTCTGCTATGCTATAGATGCAGAACATTTTCCCAATTCCAATATCTACTAACTTCAGGTTAAAAAGGAGCTCAAGTTACTAATCAATGGGTGAGATCCTGGAGGGCTAGAACTGGTCAAAACCTACCCTACTGAGCTGGTATGTGAATGTGCTCCCATGGTTTGTTTCAGCTATAATTTAAGAACATTAAGAGGAGCTAAAGAGCCATATAATCCAGCGTTCATTCTGTGTCACACGGTAGCAAAAAAAAGTACAGCAAGGACACATAGGATAGGAAGGCAATACAAGAAGATATAGTTGCCTAAATACTAAAACAGAAAGCCATAAGTCCTGATTTCCAGCCCACAATGGCTTGCTTCTAAGCCAGGTGTGCCTAATCTTGATAATTTTAAGACCTGTGGACTTCAATTCCCAGAAAGGCTAGCTGGGGAATTCTGTGAGTTGAAGTCCATAAGTCTTAAAGTTGCCAAAGACAACTTTAGATTGGACATCCTTCTGATAAGCCATGCACTTTTTAATGGCTTAGTGTAATGGCCTATTGTCTGTTCTGGCATAAGGCAGATTCATAAAGTTTCTATAACTATTAGATTATCAATTTTCAACACTGGCTCACCAAAAGAAATGTGTTTTACCTGCTTTCTTTTGTCTCTCATAAGCAGAATTTTATTTAGTACAGCTGAAGTTAAGCCATCAGCACTTTCTCAATGTTTATATGAAGGAGATGGGCGGTTAAGAAATGTGAAATGTAAATAAGTAAAAAAATAAATAATGAAACAATACAAAGATGGTTCTTACTCTGACAAGGCCATACTCGTGCTTGATCATGGTGATGCTGGAGTTGTAGATGGTGATGGTGACATGATTGATGAAAGAGAAAGGGGAATTCTTCTCACTCTTGGTGAAGATATGGAAGAATGGCAGCTTGGAGCTGGTTCTGCAGGTCTTAACCACCGTATAAGTGCAGCTACCTTGGAAATCAAAGCTACGTCCATCAAACGTGTGATAATGGGGCTGACCAGAGGCCCAACATATTGCATGAGAAGATACAGCAGGAAAACATCTAGGTGAACCTTCCACCATTCTACAAATAGTCCCTTCCCAGCACTGAGTTGTCTGGCATGAATGTGCAGGGGCCACACATTTGGGCCAACCATTTATAACTTGACAAATAGTCCCACTTTGACAATGGGTGTTTTCACAGGAGGTTGGTACAGGAACGCATTTGGGCCATCCACTGGCCATGTCACAGATAGTCCCAGCAGGACACTGAAACTGGCTACAGGAAGGTGTGCTGGGCACGCACTGTGGGCTTCCACCAATGAGTTGACACACAGTTCCTGCTTGACAATGCATAGAAGCACACAGCTTCGATGAAATTGGGATGCAAGTTGGCAATCCATTAACAATCTCACAAACAGTTCCTTCCTGGCAATTTGACCTATCACACGAGGATGGGATAGGAAGGCATCTTGGCCAGTTATCAACCATTTTACAAACACTTCCTTCATGGCAGGTGAATTGATCACATGACAGTGATGTAGGAACACACTGGGGCAAGCCAGAAACCATTTGGCATGTGGTCCCAATGCTGCAACTGGCATTTCCACAAGAAGGGGAAATCGGAACACACTGTGGCCAGCCATTGTTTATTTGACACACCGTTCCACTCTTACAATGGAATTGATGACAAGAGGGGGATCTAAGAAGGCATTTTGGCTGTCCTTCATATATCTCGCACACAGTTCCTTCACTGCATTTGAAGTTCTCACAAGAGATTGAGATAGGAACACATTTGGGCCAACCATGGTTGATTTCACAAATGGTTCCTTCCTGGCAGATGATATTAGCACAGGAGGTGGTGATGGGGACACATCTGGGCTGCCCGTGAAGTGTTACACATATCATTCCTGCATTGCAGTTGAGTTTTTCACAAGGAGAAAGATCAGGAACACATTTTGGCCAACCATTATTGATATGACAAACAAACCCTTCTTTGCAACGATAATTGTTGCAGGAAAGAGATACAGAAATGCATTTTGGAAACCCATCATATATTTCACATTTGCTCCCTGCCTGGCAGTGGACTTTTTCACAAGAGTTCAAGATTCGGCTACATCTGGGCCAATCATCAACCATTTCACAAATAGTTCCTTCTTTGCACTCGATTTTATCACAGGAAGCTGGAGTAGGCATGCACATGGGCCAATCATCAACAATTTCACAAATGCTGCCATCTTTGCAGCGTAGTTTGTCACAGGTAGGTGGGATGGGGACACACTGAGGCCAGTGATCAATTATTTTGCAAGTGGTCCCTGGTCTGCAGTGGATTTTGTCACAGGATGCAGGGATTGGAAAACATCTTGGCCATCCTTCCACAATTTCACAAACTGTCCCTTGTTGGCAATAGATGTGCCCACAAGAGGGAGGGAGTGGAACACACACAGGCTGGCCATTTACTTTTTTGCAGATGGTTCCTACTTTACATTGAAGTTGGTCACAAGTGGGTGGGGCGGTGACACATTTAGGCCAGCCATCAATTATGTTACAAACAGAGCCCTGTGCACACTCTATTTTCTCACATGAAGATGCCAAAGGTATGCACATGGGCAATCCATGGACAACTTTACAAATAGTTCCTTGTCTGCACTTATATCTGTCACAAGACAGTGGGATGGGTATGCAGGTTGGTACACCGTTCACCATTTCACACACAGCTTGCTCTCTGCAAACAATGGCTGCACAAGTTGTTGGCAGAACCGGAATACAAGTTGGCCAACCATTGGCGATGTCACAGACCATTCCATTCTTGCACACAATGCTCTCACAGGAGTGTGGGCGAGGTCTACAGGTGGGCCAATTGTTGATCATTTCACAGATGGTTCCCGTCGGGCACTGTACATTGTTACAGGAGGTGACAGAAGGCACACATCTGGGGACACCATCAAGGATCTCACAGATTGTTCCTTCTTTACAATGGATCTTGTTGCAAGAGGGTGAGATGGGCACACATAAGGGCTGACCATCTGCCAGCTGACATACAGACCCAGGCCTGCAGTGAATTTGGTCACAGGAGAGTGGAACAGGCAAGCATCTGGGCAGGTGATTCATCATCTTGCATTCAGTACCAGGTTCACAATTTAAATCTTTGCAAGTTGGACTTGGGACGCATTTTGGCCACCCGTCAACCATATCACACATGGTCCCTTGCCTGCATTGAATATGGAGGCAGGATGGTGGCAATCGGACGCACATGGCTTGGCCATGGACCATCTCACACATGGTTCCTTTCTCACACAGGATCTCACTGCACGAGGCAGAGGTTGGAACGCACTGAGCCTGACCATGAACGATCTGACACTTGGTCCCATCTTTGCAATGGATGCTGTGACAGGAAGGCGGGTGAGGCACACACTGCGGCCAGCCATTAATGAGTTCACACACCATTCCTGGGTTGCACGGGATGTTTTGGCAGGACGCGGGCCTTGTAATGCACTGAGGCCAACTGTTAATAATGGCACAGATGGTGCCTTCTTTGCACTGAACAGAGGCACAGGATTGCGGCACAGGAACGCATTTGGGGAAGCCATCTGTCAGGCTGCAAATTGTCCCTTCTTTACATTGGACCTGATGACAAGAGGGCGGGTAAGGAACACATCTGGGAAAGCCATCGACTATTGCACAGAGGGTCCCTTCTTGGCATTGGACAGAATTGCAGGACTGGGGTTCTGGAAAACACTCTGCCTGATTATGAATAGCTCGGCAAACATATCCTTTCTCACAATTGACTTCATGGCACGGATCAAGAAGAGAGCTCATCCGGGGCAGCATTGCTAGAAAAGAAACAAATTACAGATGATATATGAAAAAAAAAAAACCACGCTGCCAGGATAGAAATATTCTGGAAATTTTAAAGCGTAAAGAGATGTCATCGGGCTGCTACACAGAACTGCAATTTTTAAAAAAGTATTCATCGTTTATGTTCATGGAGGAAGTGATTTTTTTTTAAAAAAAATCAATACACCTTGAGTTGTAGTTGGCCTGCCAGATACAGTATGGCATGGCTGATTAAAATGCTAATGCCCTCAGCAGAAATCAGTACGGATGTAATTTGTGTGATGTAAAAAAAGGGTGGCGAGGAGGAGAGCAAACCCTGTTTATATCTAATTCAGACTGAAAAGCAAATTAAAATGATTCTGAATTAAATAATTCTGAATTAACATGTTATTTCATTCCCCTTATACGGCCTCCATTAAACAGAGCTGTGGAGAAAAGAAACTGCTCTTCCAGGTGGTGGAGCAGGCAAGAAAAAGCAATATTCACCACCAGGACAAAACGTATTTGCATTCTGGATAGAGCTGCAATTTTTGATTTACAGAATTGCTGGAATACATTAAAGAACAAATATTTGGTGCTTTCATGCTAATTTGCATGGACTCCATAAAATAAACCTCTGGTTGCTGGGTGCCTTAAGACAGTAAATGCCCATGTCTTCATTTTTCCTCCTCCCTCATACCAGTGCAGCAAGGTTTCCCAACCTTGGCAAACGGAAGGTGAGTGAACTTCCATTCCCAGAATTCTCAGCAATGGCTATGCTGGCTATGGAATTTTGGGAGCTGAAGTCCATCTACCTGGAAATGGTCAAGGTTGGAAACACCTGAACCAGTGGTCTGAAGGCTACCTCATGCTACTGCTATTGGTGGAAAGCAGCAGAAGAAGCTGGTTAGCTGTTCCTAGTTCTTGCTCCTGTAGAGACTGTGGATGTAGCCATGAAAAACCTATGATCTTGCAGGATTTGAGGAATTAACATTGGCTACATCAGCCTGATATGCTAGTAAGGGTACTCTAGGAATAGGTTAGCAAGGTGTGTGGAAGGTTACAATTTACCAAAGGTGGAAGGCCCAAAGCAGCATTTCTAAGGTTGGCTGTCAAAATCTCATATTGCAATTTTTGTCTGCTGACCTCATATACAAGGTCTGGTTATTCCTGGATGACCCCAATATGGGGATTGGAGGATCTGAACTTTCTTAGCAACTTGGATGTGATTTTGAAATTCCTGTTGGTCGGTAGCTGCAGAGAATAAAAGCAGCTATAAGATTCTTTCTGCCACTTCCTGGTTAAAGTTCTAAAATACAGTGTGTGTGTGTGTGTGTGTGTGTGTGTGTGTGTGTGTGTGTGTCTGTGTGTGTGTGTGTGTGTGTGTGTGTGAGATTCTTCAGCTTTTGTGGATTGCAGAAAGTACCCCTTCTCAGTGATTGTGTCCTTGAACTAAGTACAACCAAAGTGCATTATAGTTTGTTTGTTTTTTGGCATACCAAGGCCTTGGGAAAAGGTAAAACTTATTATAGGTTTTGACCCTTTTTAATATATTGTTATAGTAATCTGAGTGCGGTACTGTTAGCCCTCAACTTATAAACATTCATTTAGTGACCATTCAAAGGGCATTGAAAAAAATGACTTATGACTTTACGACTGTTGCAGCATCCCCAGGGTCACGTGATCAAAATTCGGATGCTTGACAACTGACTCATATTTATGACGGTCACAGTGTCCTCGGGTCACGGGATCCCCTTTTGCGACCTTCTGACAAGCAAAGTCCATGGGGAAGCCAGGTTCACTTAACAACCAGTTTACTAACTTAACAACTGCAGTGATTCACTTAACAACTGTGGCCAGAAAGGTCATAAAATGGGGCAAAACTCACTTAACAACTGTCTCACTTAGCAACAGAAATTTTGTGCACAATTGTGGTTGTAAGTCCAGGACCACCTGTATGTCCTTGTTTTGTCTATGCAAGCCGGCTACTAAGCTAACATTCAAAATGGAATATTCCTTGGATGAGATTCCAAGCAAGAATGGGTTTGTTTGTTTATTCACAGTATATGAAAAAGTGTGTCCTGTGTGCTTCCTGTGACTCAAGGACACACATGCACATATGCACACACAAAATGCCAAGTAGCTGAAAGAAAATGAAAATAAAATACAGAAACATCCAGTTACAAAATGTTAATTGAGGCAAGCTAGTCAGCACTGGAACCCAACTGCCCTGTGGAATTGATAAATCTTAAGGTTTTGTTAAAGACCCAAAAAGGTTAGACGCCCAAGATACTCGGATTGTGGAGCAGGCACAAAAAAGAAATGTCTTCGAACATATGTCCCATTTATTTCATTAGATCTGTGGACCCTGGAACCCCCCTCCCCTAAATGAACACATACAGTGGGTTGAAAATTCCAGGGACCGAGCCTTGCATAAAGAAAAATAATTAGCACTTTGAATGTCTACAGAGATCCTCAGTCATCCAGGGCATGGCTGTCCCAAAGGGGCTTTTTCAGGAGGCAACTGCCTTGTTTTTTTCTTTGAAGATGTTTCGCTTCTCATCCAAGAAACTTCTTCAGCTCTGACTAGATGGTCTCCATCCTTCCACTCCCCACCATCTAGTCAGAGCTGAAGAAGCTTCTCGGATGAGAAGCGAAACATCTTCAAAGAAAAAACAAGGCAGTTGCCTCCTGAAAGAGCACCTTTGGGATAGCATTTTGAATGGGATGCAGAAGTTGATTAGTAATCAGTGTAGCAACTCTAGCAGGGATGTCCATGCTGGCTGGGGAATTCTGGGAATTGATATTCACAGCTCGCAAAATTGCCAAGGTTGGACACGCCTGCTACAGTTGCTACACTGATTACTAATCAACGTTTGCATCCCATTCAAGGTTGGGTACCCCTGATCTACAGCCTGACAGCCTCCAGGCACTGGCTCTAGAATTCAGCAGCATTCCTGATCCAGCCTGGTCCGGCATTATATGGGCGAGTATTATTGGTGTATATCATCCCAAACTGATGTAATGTTCTGCATTGGATCATCCATGGATATGTATAAACACACATTGACTGCTTGCTTAGCGAGGAATGGAATCAATGTCAATTGATGTGCTCAATATCTTACCATTGCAGGTTATCCAGAAGGATAACATGGTTAATGGCATCAAATGCTGTCAATAGTTGACGGGCATTTAAACAAACAGTGGTTGTATGGTTGTGATTATGGGATGCAATCTTGGACAGAATACAGGGGGTTCTTGATTCATGGCCACAACTGAGCCTAACATTTCCTTTGCTAACCAAGATATTAAGTGGGCCTTGCCTCGTTTTATGACCTTTCTTGCCAGAGTTGTTAAGTGAATCACTTCCATTTTTCAATTAGTATCATGGTTGTTAAGTGAATCTGGCTTCCCCCAATGTACAAACCAACTCTGCTTGTCAGAAGGTGATCATATGAACCGAAGACACTGCAACGGTCCTAAATACATGCCAGTTGCCAAGCGTCTGAATTTTGAACACAAGACCATGGGGGTAGCTGCAAGGGTTGTAAGTGTGAAAAACGGTCATAAGTCACTTTTTTCAGGACCATTGTAACTCTGAATGGTCACTAAATGAATAGTTATATGTGACCCATAATATACCCATGGTCTGTTGTTAGCACAATGTACAAACCACACGCCTTGCCTGCTTTGTTTTCCATGCATACTTACTAGTAGTCCTCAGTTAACAACAGCAATTGGGAGTGGAGTTTCTATCGCTAAGTGACCTGGTCAAAAAGCATGATCTTACCTAAACATACTGCTTAGCAGCAGCAATTCTGACACTCTCAGTTGCTGCTGTTAAGCAAATCCCACGCTGTCATTAAGTGAGGATGTTATTTGGTTACCTTTTGTGACATCCTGCTGGCTTCCCCATGGATTTCCAGCAAAGGGTGACTACATGATAGCAAAAGCAATAGCACTTAGCTGTAAAGCACTTATATCCTACTTTACAGTGCTTTACAGCCATCTCTAAGTGGTTTACAGAGTCAGCCTATTGTCCCCAACAATCTGGGTCCTCATTTTACCGACCTTGGAAGGATGGAAGGCTGAGTCAACCTCAAACCGGTGAGGATCGAACTCCTGACAGTGGGCAGAGTTAGCCTGCAATACTGCATTCTAATCACTGTGCCCCCGTGGCTCTTTGGCTCCCATGATCATGGGAATGCTGTGACAGCTGGAACACTAAAAACCCATTGGAAGTATCACTCATTCAGCACCATCACAAGTTTGAATGATGGCTGCACAAGTGGTCATTAAGTTTTGATCACCTGTTCTGAGTAACATAAATCAGCCATGAATTTGAGGAACTAGCTTACTTTTTCCTCAAAAATATTTATAATCCTTGAAGACTGTACTTACAGAAAATGACAAGCAGTATCTCCAGAAGCAACATTCGGGACATCTTGCAATCTGGAAAGTAAAGCAAGAATAAAAGGCATTAGAAATCTCTTTTTTTAAAAAAGCATGATTACCTTCACCTCTGATCGTTTTAAACAAGGAAAAAATAACCAGTTCCTAGCAAACAGAGCAGGGCTAAAAAAAATAAAAATAAAATCTAGCTTCCACACAACGTAGTGGGATTTCTTTTGAATAAAGAAATACTTGAGATTGCTCTCCACTAGCTGTTTCATTTGACAAATGAAATCTCTCTGTGCTTAAGATTATAGACTAGAGAGTCATATCCATTGGAAATAAGAACAAAAAGATATAAGCAGAATCCATTGTTGGGTGCATACAGGTTAGCGCTGGATAAGAAATCTGGTTTATCAGGAAATTTTAGAACAGCATACCAATTTCAAACTTGCCAAAATATATGCAGAATATAAATGCACCTGAATGACATTGCTTTTTAAACATTTTGGGATGTGAGTTGCAAATGCACACTTTTGTTCACATTGAAGAGTTGGAAGCGACCTTAGAGGTCATCTAGTTCAACTTCCTGCTCAAGCAGGAAACCCCATACCATTCCAGACAAGGGATTGTCCAATCTCTTCATAAAAACCTCCAGTGTTGGAGGGCCCACAACTTCTGGAGGCAGATTGTTCCACTGATGAATTTTTTTCACTGCCAGGAAATTTCTCCTTAGTTCTAGGTTGCTTCTCCCCTTGATCAGTTTCCATCCATTGCTTCTTGTCCTGCCTTCAGGTGCTTTGGAGAATAAGTGAACCCTCTCAAATACCGGAACACTGCTATTGTGTCATGTCTAGTCCTTCTTTCATTAATATACACATGCCAAATTCCTGCAACCTTTCTTCATATGTTTTAGCCTCCAGTCCTCCAATCATATTTGTTGCTCTTCTCTGCACTCTTTCTAGAGTCTCATTATTATGGTGACCAAAACTGGATGCATTGCTAGATCTGCACATGCAAAAAAATATTTGCTAAGTTAATTTATTTCAGCCAAAGCAATAGTCACCTATTAAGGCACCTTAATAAACTTATGGTATTGTTGCATGACCTTGCAAGCATCCCATCCCAGTCATGCTTAAGGAAAAGATTGCAAGTTTTCAAGAATTACAGACCCAAAGATATCAGCATTTTTTCTGCAGGGAAAGATGTCCCAAATGGCATGCTATGAAAACAGAATACAAAAACTCTTATATTTGAAATGTGTGCACAGCGACGCATGCAAATATTTGTTGTGCATTTTTCTGCATAAATAGTAGGTTGATAATTTACAGTTGGTAAGTCAAAAAAACAACAACAGCCCAATTGATATTCATTTCCTTACAATAATAGGAGTGATTTCGCTCTTTTCATTACAGTGGCATTAATCCTGCACAAAGATTACTAGCTAAATTCATGCAAAAAAAAAAAGTGGGTGTAAAGAAAACAGTCATCAGCCCTCCCCTACTTTCCTTAACTAAGTGCAGCTTCTGATCTTTTCAATTTCATGATAGGCAGGAAAGAACCTTTGAACTTGTAGAAGAGAGAGTACATTTTATCTAACATCTTTACAAAAAGATCTATTGTGGAGCTCTACAATGAATATTTGAAAGGCTACAAGGATTCTCTTAAAGGTATGTGAATTTGCATAAATCCTTTACCATGTTAAAAAACAGTTTTTACATTAAAAGTGCTTTAAAATGCTCTCAGCATAGCGTCTATGCGAGAGAAATGGGTGATGACTTAAGTAGGATCCAGCAGAGTTTTGACCAACATAGAAGAGAGAACAAAAGAACATGGGTTTTACAATCAGTTGTGAATTCTTCAGTGGCATTTCTCAATTGATGCTATCTGAGTGCCTATTTGCCTTTAAAAAAAAAAAAAAAAAAAAAACAACTGATTAGTGAAGAACTGATGTAGTTCGTTCAAATATCTATCAATGACTTCTCAATAGGAGGGGTTCTTTGAAATAGTGAAGGAAGGGTAAAATAATTTTATGTGAATAATTGATAAATTCCAACTCATTGTTAGGTTGCCTTTCATTAAAAAAAATGCAATGTCCTAATGAAAAGGGATCATTGGCACCATAATAGATTATGACAATGAAAGTGATGGCTTGCTTGCCAATTATGGTTGGTTCCATCAGCTATTCATTTAGTATATCCAGCCTTGTTTCTCTCAGCTGAGTTGAATAATAACTCTCATAATCTTTTGACAAAATTGCATGCTTTTTTCTTGTCTGCAAGAAAAACAAGCAAACTCAGAGAGCACTAAGGACCCCTTATTTCAGCCACAAGTTAAAAATATTCTCCTTTATTGATATTTTTTTCTTGTCCATGTCCTAGCTTTCTCAACTGCCCTTTTCTTCCAGACTCAATATATAACAACCCACATAGTTCAGGTCAAGAGTGAACAAATAGGAGAAGCAAGGATCTGCAATTAAGATTAGGAGGCTTTGATGATTAGAACCTGACATTCCTGGAGAAATATGAGCAGGGTATATGCCCAGTGAATCCAGCCCCAAGGCTGGTTCTGCTTCAGTCACTTTTACAGGGCACTCATCATTATTTTTATCACCTTACAACTCCAAGAAGTCCTTCCAATTAAGTATGCTGCAAAGCATGGAGCAGAAGAATACAACCTTTGGACCTTGATCTTCTATGGACAGAGATATTCCTAGGCGAAGTTGGCCTCATTTTCCTGCATATAATATGTATTCCCTCCTACCTTGGTTGACTTGATCTTTCCAGTCTTGATCTTGATCTACCTCATTCCTGGCTCCTAGGTGAGACCTTGGGACTCAACATCTCAGTTTTCTAGGCTTCGTGACCAGAGTCCAGCCAATGAGATAAGGGACACTCCTTGACTTCAGAAAGGCTATGTGCTGATTATAATAATGTAAATAGGATACACAGAAACCAGAATTTATTTCTGATTGGTTGCTTCATAGCAAAGAAAGCGGGAGCTGGTGGTGATGTCAGTCTACTAACAGAATCAGGTTGCCACATGGGGGCAGCCCTAAAAGTCAAACCATGTGCGGCTTCTTCTCTATAATACTCTTGGATTTTCTGGAGTCTGGGTTAAGATGTTGGGTTAGGAATTAGGAGACTCAGATTCAAATCTACCTTCAGCCACATTAGCTTACTGGGCAATTTTAAGCTAGTGATTTTCTCTCAGCTCAACTTGCCAGTTAGGATTGTTGTGGGAGGACATAGGAGGAAGAAGCTACGTATGCCACCTTGAGCTCCTGAATGAAAGGCAGAATATAAGCCACATACATACATATATAGTTTTTCTGTTTGAAGAACTTCAAAAAGAGGAGGGAGAATGCATAACACATGGCTTTTCATCTCAACAATGATTATTTTTGAAACTGCAAATTTGGACTTCTCTGTTTTGTGCAGTGTTTATGGAAGGCTGAAAGTGAGCACTGTTGAGGTCAGGGGTGCAAAACTCGCAGCCCTCCAGATATTACTGAACCACCACCACATCTAACATTTTTAACTAATCATGGAAATAACTTCCTTCTCAATTCTCTTTCTCCTTCACTTTCACCTTCTTCCCTTCCTCCCTTCACCCATTCTCCTTCTCCCATTCTCCTTCTCCCAGCCAGTGTTGCATTTGCAAGAACAGAAGACTATCAAATACATTAAGAAGATTACTCAAGAGCAATTGCTCAACAGAAATCTTTCCTACCCTGGCATGCCTCCTGCTCTCCAAGACAAGAAGCTAATAGCTACCAGCTGGAAAATGGTGAGACTTTCTGTCCAATATATCTGAGGTTATGGATGGAGAAGGTCTTCTTTCCCTGAAATCACACACTGTTACTCAGCTTAAAAAAAAAAAAAAACGTGAAGAGAGGAGTAGGGGTCCCGCATCCTTGGTCCTTGGCTTAATTTCATCAAGTTAACCATTCAGATATTTTTAATGGTTAGGTGTTCCCTCCACAGGAATTTGGAACAAGAAAGAAAGAAAATACTAGCTTTACCCACTTAGAGCTTTGGCCACTGCAAACATGCCTTCCTCACTTGATCTTTATTGTGAACTAAAATCCCCCAGGGATGAAAAGCTTGTCTGTGCCTGTGCTAGAAGTAATAATTTTGTTCTCCCCACCAATTGGAGGCTGACTTGATTTATTTGTCTTTCTCTGATCAGATTCATTAGCCCCCATTGTGTCATTCTGCTGTGGGTCAAAGGCAAGATCATGTCACCACCCAATTATGCCTTTTCTTCCCTTTAATTGCTGAGTAAATCAAAAGCATAGACACAGTCAGGATGGAATCACTGCCCGTAGATTTATGGATGGAGTGTCTCCCAGCCTGGAGACGGAGGGACTCAACTATAAGGTTGATCCATGCTCCGTGACAGACCAGCCCTTCCATATCATCCATCTTGGGCACAGGAACAAAGAAAAAATTGCCCTCTGCATGCAAGACATTTTCTTTTCAATTATATCAAATCATGATTTTTGAAGGGAAAAAAAAGGTCTCAGGGACATTTATTGATCTATTTATTTATTATTTAATTAATTTCTAGGTCACTCCGGTCAGCTTCACAAGTAAAATATCCCAACACATTAATCTACCCTCAGCCACTGTGCAGAAATCTTGCAACTGCGCAGATGATCATTCAGTAACTCTGACAGATGATCATCTCACTAACTTAAATTTCTCCCATGAAGGACCATCTGCTATGTTCTAAAGTGGTCTGTTCAATGCTCAGATTTTCCTGGTTAAAATCTCTCTCTCTGAAATGACCTCCCTTCCTTTTCCATTCATCTCTGATTTTCCTGCCCTCTGAAGAAGATAGAACCTTATTTAAATCAGAGAAGCTTGGAAGCACTTGAAAATGACAGGACCTTCCACTTGGATCCAAAAGAAGCAGGTTAGGAAGAGTATTATTGAAGCTTTTGAATGCTGTGTTGGAGGAGATAGTAAAGGAAATCAACCAGAGTTCTCACCGGAGGCATAAATGACTAGTCGAGGGGTGGCAACCTTGGCTCTTTT